AGCACGATACAACCCCTGAGTGAAAATCTTCTAGTGATACAAACTTTGTCTTTCGCCTCAATGTTATTGGATGCCACAGAAGTTTCGTCAATCCTTTTTATATGTTATAAAAGGCTGCATGATTACTGGGAAGTTTTACATGAAACCTGACACATGATATGTGATATTTGAAAGTGATTTCTTCACTGTTCAAAATCTTCCTATAACAAATCTAAGAATACTACTATGAGAATAAGTCTCCACTATTATAATGATTAATGGAGTTAGATTAGCTCAGTTTTCAAGACCAGTGATGTCATTTCCTCGACTGAATCATTACCACACTCAGGTCTGACATAGCCAGGATGGTGCAAATAAGTGTTCATTTGTTCATTTTTTAAAACTAAATAAAAGTTAGCAAATGTTAATGTGATTTTTTTTCTGAAAAGTTTGTATAAGCCAGTTTGCTTTTTGATTGATTATTGTTTTTTTTTATTGTTTTTTTTTATAATGTCCCCCCCCCCCCCCCCCCCCCATAGAGTCCTAAATGTCTATAATCCCTCAATGCAGAACTGTCGATTAAACTGTATCTCTTTTCTTTGAATGTCTTAAAATGATCTTCAACAAAATAGAAAATAAAAATATAATTTGTAATGTTGGAATTGATATGTTGTCAATTTTCCTATAACTTTCCCAAAGATTCATTACCCAAAAAAGTAGATCCTTCAAGACAAGTCCTGTAGGTTGCAAGGTGGAGCTGCCGTGGATCAAACTTGTTAGTCCAGCACATCTCACAGATACTCAATCAGATTGAGATCTGGGGAATTTGGAGGCCAGGGCAACATCACCATGTTGAACCCTTCATCATGTTCCTCAAACCTTTCCATGCATTATCCTGCTAAAAGAGGCCCCTTCCACTAGGGAACACCATCGTCATGAAGGGGTGTACCTGGTTTGCAATGTTTTGGTCAGTGGCACGTGTCAAATTTACGTGCACATGAATGGATGTCCCAGCAGAACATTGTCCAGAGCATCACACTCCCTCCAGCGGCTTGTAATCGTCCCACAGAGATCCTGGCACCATCACTTCCCCAGGTAAACGGCACACATGTCCACGGCCGTCCATGTGATGTTAAAAAAACAAAACAAGACTCATCGCATCGGACCAGGTGACCTTCTTCCACTGCTCCAAGTTCCAGTTCCGACGCTCGCGTGCCCATTGTAGGCGCTTTCAATGGTGGATAGGGGTCATCATAGGCACTATATGCAGCCCCATACGCAACAGAGTGTGATCAAGGGGGTAATCCATCGACCGGAAGTTGAAGCCGGCCGGGTGCCGCCATCTTGTAGCAGAACTACACTTGCGTTAGCATTTCCATTGACTCCCATTCATTTTGGCGTCACTTTGACAGCGAATAACTTTACATCTGAGGCGTTTAAAGACTCCATTTGTCCATTATTTATTTCTAAAGAAACACGACAATGTATAAAGGGCTTCATTACCTTCTATGTTACATTATGGCCCCATAGAAACAGTTAAAAATAGTCTAACGATTGCGTCATAACCACTCGACTCTCTGTCGCGCTGAACAGAAATTACCGTACAGACAGGAGGAGAAGCTCGCAGGCAATCGGGGGGACGTCCCGTCAAGGGAGAAGCCCATAGATAATGAGTCCATAAAAGCAACGTAATACTTACTCCTGCTCACTCACGCCAAAGAACTCTTTGCTCAAGTTCCCCGTCTCTGCAAGATTAACGTTGGCAATTTTCACGCACAGCTACTAGAAGATTAACGTCTGTCAGACAGGTTGCTCACGTCATCAAGCTTAGTTTGAGTCGGTTTGAGTCTGCGCGTCAGGAACGGAAGTGCTCAAAAATCGCTAAAAATGGGCTTCAACTGTCTCAACTGAGTTCCAATGAGATGGCTCTGTCCACTTCTTATACTGTCTATGAGTGTGATGCATTGTGTGTTGTGACACATTCCTCCCATATCCAACATTAAAATTTAGTGTGAAGTGTGGAAGTGTGTTACTGGGCAGAGGGCTGGCGCCAAAGTGCCACTGTAGACCTTTAGTCGGTTCGGACCAGATGGGATAGCCTTTGTTGCCCTCGTGCATCGATGTCACCGGTTTGTGGTTTGTTCCTCCTCGGACACTGTTGGTGAATTTTCATCACTGCTGACCGGGATCAACCCACAAGCCTTGTCGTTTCAGAGATACTCTGACCCAGTCGACTTGCCATAACAATTTGGTCCTTGTCAAAGTCACTCAGATCTTTATTCCTGCCCATTTCTCCTGGATCCAACATATGTTGATTATGAGAGCTGAGTGTCCCTTTACCATCTAAAGCCGCGTTTCCACCGAAATTACCTGGAACAATTTGTCCCAGGAACTTTTTCCCCCCTTGCTTTCAACGTTTTCACCATGCCCTAAAGTACCGTGAAGATTAGGCAAATTAGTCCGGTGACGTAGGACTGCACCCACCGCAACAGATTTTTAAAAATGATGGTTGAAATGAGTCAAACCATCAAAATGCGGCATGAACTGAACCAATCAGCATGTTCAGCGCCCAAGTCCCATCCCCGAAAGTTCCTGAACTTTGAAAAAGTACTACCTTGCGAGCAGGGACTTTCTGAGGGGGACATTTTTACCCCGAACTTCATGGCGGTCGAAACACACGAGTGCCACCCCAAAGTCACTAGTTCCTGGGGAAAGTTGCTGTAAACACTGTAAAAGTGCTGGAAACACAGCTTAATCAACCCAGACCTTAATATGTGGCCTTGTTAGGAGATGATCAATGATATTCACTTTACCTATGACTGGTCATAATGTTTAGGCACATATATATTGTTAATCATTTTCAATGCATTTCTAAGATAGCCAGCAATGCTGCTAATTATGCATAATGACCACGTGTATGCATTTGTGACAGCGTAACTGTCTTCTTGATGAGCGTAATACCATGCGACTAAGCAGACCATGACGTTTGGGACTTTAAAAAATCAACATTAGCCACAATCAAGGTTTGTGAAATGTGAATGTTTTATGACAATTTTTGCATCATACATAGAAACATACTAGGATAAAATTAAAAAAGAAATGGGTACAGGAAAAACGTCTTTCTTAACAAGTAAACTATTGTGAGCTGTCGGGATCAACTTTAAATGAAAATGTGGCATTAATTATTGTGGCTCCGGTTTTGGTATGCGCAACATTTTCTAAACTTTTAATCTAGAATTTTACAAATTTGGGGGTATATCATTAGCATTGTAATATAATAATAATAAAAAAACTAGCTAGAAATTTCACTTGTCACAAATTTCTATTTAAAAGGGAAAGGGAAAATAATACAGTATACATTACGTTTTTGTTTTTATAAAATTGCACATTTTGAGTTTGACATACATTCAATCAGTTTTCATTAAAGGACATATCATTATCTATTAACTCTAACAGCACTTCACTATGGATATTTGGCACAAGTAATGTCACAGAAACACAGTATAACATATCTTTTTTTAATGTCTGGTACCATCTATTTTGTCCCTTTTAATAAATGCCCTAAAGTTGAGCTTTCTCAGTATTGCAGTTTATATCCTCAGCTTTCAGATATTTCTGTTTGAAGATTGTATCAAGTGATCGGATTCAAGTTATCACAAGGCATCGCATGTACAAATTAATTTGTATTTCTGACAATTTACTAAGAAGAAGTTAAAATTAGTTTTAAACCACCATGACTGCACATGTACAGCTATGTAAATAATATGCATTAAATATAATAAAATAGATGTAAACTGTATATACATTTCCTGTATAAAGATCCCTCGCTTGGAGAGTTTATGGTTATATATAAAGATACATATCGATTGCTTATATCGTATGAATATATAGATATCTGCTTGTATTTTTAAGAATAGAAGCAGTGTATCGTATAAAATAATCATTATGTTTAATATTTATTTCATTTATCTCTAAAGTATGTCTGCAGTGGTGTCGTCACTCACTGGATGAGAAAACTGTGTGTGATCAATATCATGTGCATTTGCAGATTGAGGCCTCCCATGCACAGAGAAGTTTCAATAGTTGTCATAACTGGTTTAAAATCAGTGGAGCCTGGTTAACTCGTAGTCATACCCCCAGTGCCAAATATAAAAGACAATTGTATAGCAAAAGCTTGGTCCTGTGTAAACATCTCAAGAGCTTAAATTTAGCCTAGAAAATACAGAAACTGCCTCGTACATCATTTGGCAGTGAGAACAATTTAAAAGGAATAAAATACAAACTTGCACTCCATGAAGCCGGCAAACACTATAAACTCAAGCTCCCGATGTACCAAGTAAACTGTATAAATATTCCTATTTACAAAAGTAATAACAAGACTTGTCGTAGTTTCTTAAAAATATACAAAATGCAACGCAATAACTTGGTGTGCACAGGACTCCTGCTCAGGACCATTTCACAGACACCTACGCTAAGATTTTTACCTTTAAACTTCAAACTATCTTCCACAGATGTAGCCAAACACCGATTAAATGAAATCCACGATCATGACCCTCACTATACTTATTGTATGACAATTATAACCCCCTTCACCCTCAAAAACAGTTTAGCACTAGAGGAGTGCAATTTACCCACTTACCAATGAAAAAGAAAATGTGCTGAACACATTTCATAGTCTTCATCATGCAAACTGCAATTTGTAAAATGCTAATCAGCCTGTTCGTTTATTAAATATATTGTCTAATGTGATGATGAAAAAAGTCTGCGCTGTGCTGAAGAACTTAAGTTTTGAATTGTGATCTACACTATGTGACTGGACCGGACTTCACGTTCAATTCCAGTGTTTCACAACCCTTTTTCCTGTTGTAGAGCTCTACTGACCCTTTCTGGAACTGTGCAGCAGTGCGGCGTTCGTGACGGCTTAACACATGCAGGGAAATGTGTCCAACGTGTCCAAACAGACGTCAAACAGACGTCATGGAATAAACCTCCTGCTGTGGTGCGGCGGCTCCTGCGAAAACCTAAAGGCCCGTGAGGTCCACGATGGCTTTGATGAAGATGGTGTCGTCCCGTATGTACGAGTTCTTGCCCTCCAGCTTGGACAGCGGACAGAAAAGCGGGCAGCCGCTGGCGATGTTCATCTCGCTTACGGGCCTCTGGAATGAGGAGGAAGTGATGTCGGGACGGAACGCATCGATGATGTGCTCTCGGTTACTCTGGTCCAGCAGCATCAGTGTGACCTGGAAGGATGTCACTAGATTCAGCTCACAAATACACAGCAATGCTTTCATTTTGGGCTAGGTACTGTAGCTCAGGCTGTGAAAATATTCATTTTTAATTTTATCACAAAATAAAATGATATTGATACTATTTGTAATATTTAAATACATATCAAATAATATATAAAACAGAAGACTTATATAAATGTATACAGTAGTCGACATTTGGAGTGGATCAAAACCTTTCATCAAAGTTATACATGAATTTTAAACAATACCTGTTCTTGTCTTAGGACAACTTTGATTAACTTTTTTGATCCACTTCAAGTGTTGACTACTGTATACACACACACATATGTATGTATATATACACTCACCTAAAGGATTATTAGGAACACCACACTAATACTGTGTTTGACCCCCTTTCGCCTTCAGAACTGCCTTAATTCTACGTGGCATTGATTCAACAAGGTGCTGAAAGCATTCTTTAGAAATGTTGGCCCATATTGATAGGATAGCATCTTGCAGTTGATGGAGATTTGTGGGATGCACATCCAGGGCACGAAGCTCCCGTTCCACCACATCCCAAAGATGCTCTATTGGGTTGAGATCTGGTGACTGTGGGGGCCATTTTAGTACAGTGAACTCATTGTCATGTTCAAGAAACCAATTTGAAATGATTCGAGCTTTGTGACATGGTGCATTATCCTGCTGGAAGTAGCCATCAGAGGATGGGTACATGGTGGCCATAAAGGGATGGACATGATCAGAAACAATGCTCAGGTAGGCCGTGGCATTTAAACGATGCCCAATTGGCACTAAGGGGCCTAAAGTGTGCCAAGAAAACATCCCCCACACCATTACACCACCACCACCAGCCTGCACAGTGGTAACAAGGCATGATGGATCCATGTTCTCATTCTGTTTACGCCAAATTCTGACTCTACCATCTGAATGTCTCAACAGAAATCGAGACTCATCAGACCAGGCAACATTTTTCCAGTCTTCAACTGTCCAATTTTGGTGAGCTCTTGCAAATTGTAGCCTCTTTTTCCTATTTGTAGTGGAGATGAGTGGTACCTGGTGGGGTCTTCTGCTGTTGTAGCCCATCCGCCTCAAGGTTGTGCGTGTTGTGGCTTCACAAATGCTTTGCTGCATACCTCGGTTGTAACGAGTGGTTATTTCAGTCAAAGTTGCTCTTCTATCAGCTTGAATCAGTCGGCCCATTCTCCTCTGACCTCTAGCATCAACAAGGCATTTTCGCCCACAGGATTGCCGCATACTGGATGTTTTTCCCTTTTCACACCATTCTTTGTAAACCCTAGAAATGGTTGTGCGTGAAAATCCCAGTAACTGAGCAGATTGTGAAATACTCAGACCGGCCCGTCTGGCACCAACAACCATGCCACGCTCAAAATGGCTTAAATCACCTTTCTTTCCCATTCTGACATTCAGTTTGGAGTTCAGGAGATTGTCTTGACCAGGACCACACCCCTAAATGCATTGAAGCAACTGCCATGTGATTGGATGATAATTGCATTAATGAGAAATTGAACAGGTGTTCCTAATAATCCTTTAGGTGAGTGTATATATTAATATTAATATTATTTATATATATATATATTAATATTATTTATTTAGTTAGTTTCCCCTGTTTGGCTGGCAATATGTGATTGTATTTTAAAGTCTTCTAGTTTATGCATTATTATATTTGTATTATTATTATTATCTTCTGTATTGTATATAAATTGTGAAAAATGTTATGCAATGTTAACATGCATTTAAATCCTTATTTCTTTGCAAAAATATATTTTCATAAAAATATTTGGTATTGTCACCATTAGTTCATGTATTAACTAACATGAACTAACAATGAGCAATATATTTATTACAGTATTTATTAATCTTTGTTAATGTTAGTTAATAAAAATCCAGCTGTTCATTGATTGTTCATGTAAGTTCAGTATTAGTACTGTATTTGTAATTGAATTTAGTAATGTATTTGTAATTGAATTTAATAATGTTAGTAAATGTTGAAATTAACATGAACTAAGATTAATAATTGTAGAAGTATTGTCAATTCTTAGTTTATGTTAACTAAAGTAGTTACTAATGTTAACTAAAGAAACCACATTGTAAAGTGTTACCAAATATTTCTATGATCACTTCAAGTTTCCATATTTAAATGACGTTTCATGAAAAGTAACAGTATCAGAAGTGCAATAGCATTAGTCTGAAGACATGCAGAGAACAAACTGGTGATGTACCTTCTGGTTGAAGGGCCATTTGAGCAGCGCGTCGCTCATTCCTCTCATGACCACAAAAAACAGCGAGAGGTGAGTCCCACGACCCGTCCCATCCCCGTTCAGGTAAATGCGCAGGCACATCTTATAGCCATACTTGCTTGTGTAAAATGCTAAACAGAACCGAGGAGCATGTAAGTTAAAATATATAATTATATATATATATATATATAAAAAACACTGACTCATTTCTGATGAAATTACTTTATCTATTTTGATTCATATGGGTTTTTTTTACCAGGTGAAAACATGGCAGGCGCCCGTCCAGCAATGGCATCTTGTCTCTTTTTAGTAATATCTGAAATCCGCCAGATGAAGACGCCATCAAACGTGGTTGCGGACATCTCCCGTAGTCTGCCCTCCATTTCAGCAACAGTCAGGTCTTTAACACCCACCTGCCGTTCCAGCTGACGAACCTATGAGATGAAGAGACACATCATGGAGAGATACAGAGGTCAGGCCATCTGATTAGATTTGGAGTAAACATTTTGATCATAAATGATTCTCACATTGGCAAAGAAAGAGGCCTTCACAAGATTTATACTAACTTAAAGGGTTAGTTCACCCAAAAAGAGCTTTCTGTCCCTCCATTGAAAATGTATGTAAGGTATACTGTCCTTGTCCAGAAAGGAAATAAAGACATCATCAAAGTAGTCCATGTGACATCAGTGGGTTAGTTAGAATGTTTTGAAGCATCGAAAATACATTTTGGTCCAAAAATAACAAAAACTACGCCTTTATTCAGCATTGTATTGTCTTCTGGTTCTGTTGTGGATCCGCGTTCAGTGCCGCCGCTGACGTAAGACGCTGCTGACGTGTGTCTGGTGTGTGTGTGTGTGTGTGTGTGTATTCTGGTTCTGTTGTGGATCCGCGTTCAGTGCCGCTGCTGACGTAAGACGCTGCTGACGTGTGTCTGGTGTGTGTGTGTGTGTGTGTGTGTATTCTGGTTCTGTTGTGGATCCGCGTTCAGTGACACCGCTGACGTAAGACGCTGCTGACGTGTGTCTGGTGTGTGTGTGTGTGTGTGTGTGTATTCTGGTTCTGTTGTGGATCCGCGTTCAGTGCCGCTGCTGACGTAAGACGCTGCTGACGTGTGTCTGGTGTGTGTGTGTGTGTGTATTCCGGTTCTGTTGTGGATCCGCGTTCAGTGACGCCGCTGACGTAAGACGCTGCTGACGTGTGTCTGGTGTGTGTGTGTGTGTATTCCGGTTCTGTTGTGGATCCGCGTTCAGTGCCGCCGCTGACGTAAGACGCTGCTGACGTGTGTCTGGTGTGTGTGTGTGTGTGTGTATTCTGGTTCTGTTGTGGATCCGCGTTCAGTGACGCCGCTGACGTAAGACGCTGCTGACGTGTGTCTGGTGTGTGTGTGTATTCCGGTTCTGTTGTGGATCCGCGTTCAGTGCCGCCGCTGACGTCAGACGCTGCTGACGTGTGTCTGGTGTGTGTGTGTGTGTGTGTGTGTGTGTGTGTATTCTTGTTCTGTTGTGGATCCGCGTTCAGTGCCGCTGCTGACGTAAGACGCTGCTGACGTGTGTCTGGTGTGTGTGTGTGTGTGTGTGTGTGTGTATTCTGGTTCTGTTGTGGATCCGCGTTCAGTGCCGCCGCTGACGTAAGACGCTGCTGACGTGTGTCTGGTGCGTCCGAGTATTCGGGTTCAAATAAATATGGCTGGGCAAAAAAATGCAAGTCTTCCTCTGTGTGGAAATCCTTAGACATGTTTGTGAAGATTGTTTTGTTTCCAGCGTGCGTCTCCCTCAGACTGTAAACGAAGCTCGGGCGCACCAGACACACGTCAGCAGCGTCTTACGTCACACACACACACACACACACCAGACACACGTCAGCAGCGTCTTACGTCAGCGGCGGCACTGAACGCGGATCCACAACAGAACCAGAATACACACACACACACACACACACCAGACACACGTCAGCAGCGTCTTACGTCACACACACACACACACACACACACACACACACACACACACCAGACACACGTCAGCAGCGTCTTACGTCACACACACACACACACACACCAGACACACGTCAGCAGCGTCTTACGTCAGCAGCGGCACTGAACGCGGATCCACAACAGAACCAGAATACACACACACACACACACACACACCAGACACACGTCAGCAGCGTCTTACGTCAGCGGTGTCACTGAACGCGGATCCACAACAGAACCAGAATACACACACACACACACACACCAGACACACGTCAGCAGCGTCTTACGTCAGCGGCGGCACTGAACGCGGATCCACAACAGAACCAGAATACACACACACACACACACACACACACACCAGACACACGTCAGCAGCGTCTTACGTCAGCGGCGGCACTGAACGCGGATCCACAACAGAACCAGAATACACACACACACACACACACACACACCAGACACACGTCAGCAGCGTCTTACGTCAGCGGCGGCACTGAACGCGGATCCACAACAGAACCGGAAGACAATACAATGCTGAATAAAGTCCTAGTTTTTGTTATTTTTGGAGCAAAATGTATTTTCGATGCTTCAAAACATTCTAACTAACCCACTGATGTCACATGGACTACTTTGATGATGTCTTTATTTCCTTTCTGGACAAGGACAGTATACCGTACATACATTTTCAATGGAGGGACAGAAAGCTCTCGGACTAAATCTAAAATATCTTAAACTGTGTTCTGAAGATGAACGGAGGTCTTACGGGGTTGGAGCGACATGAGGGTGAGTCATTAATGACATCATTTTCATTTTTGGGTGAACTAACCCTTTAAGCCTACTGTGTCATATTTGAAATATGAATTATCAAAATTATCAAACATTTGTGTTGCACACAATCTACTTCATGCCTTCTGTTGTCTGATTGATAGTTTATAAGTGTTTAGCAAGTAAAAGGACTTTTAGTATAATTGTAAAAATGTCCAGCTTCAGCTTGTGTCTTTCTGCTGTGAAGAATAACTTTTATATTGTTAGGTATATTTTAAGATGAACATTTCCTCAAGCAACATTGGTTTACTTGATTATTCATACATCATTTATTCGAATTCTTCTTTTTTTTTATGTAAATGTCAAATATGTATGGAATTCCAAAGCTGGCAAAATAATAAATATATAAATATACGAATAAATGTAAAATAACAAAAAATAAGTGTTTATACTTTTATTTCCTTATTCATGTTTAATTGTATTTTTTCCACATTTATTTATCCATTTATTTATTTCCAGATTTATTAATATATATATATTTATTTATTTATGTCTACATTTATCTATGTCTGAGGTTAAACATGCCCCCCTCATTACCACATGGATAAAGAAATGTAGAAATAAAAAAATTTAAATACATAAATGAATGTGGAAAAATACAATTATACATAAATAAGGAAATAAAAGTATAAATACTCATTTATTATTATTATTTTTTTTTTTATTTCTTCGTATATTTATATATGTATGAATTTATTTATTTATTATTTTGGAAGCTTTGATCCATCAGGCTCTTGAGGAACGCTTGTTTGTTCATCTCTCAATCATCATTGTATTGCGTTGCATTATGTTTTTTCGGCCCCGAACAATTTCAAACTAGAGAGCTTTGATCATAAAACTAAGCATTTAAATATCATCATATATTATTGGCATATAAAGAGTGACTACTACGACCCAACTTTTCCATTTCAAAAACAAAAGATTATTATTTCATCAGTCAGGCTTTACAGGGTTAAAGCTTAAATTGATGGCAGCACACCTTGTTGCTAAGAGCCTCGATTTTGTCCTGATCGAGTCTGTGTTGTCGGTTGCTGGCCTCCATGGTGGTGGCGAAGCGCTCTACTTCTCGATTCAGCACACACACCACATCTTCAAACGTCCCCGCCTTCACCTCCAGGTCCTGGCAGCGCCGGCCCAGATCTGCCACCTTGGTCTTCTCGCTGTGGAGTTGCAGTTCCAGGGCGGCGCCGACCGAGCTGGGCAGAGGCGTGAAGGACGTGGGCAGAGGAGGAGGAGGAGCGACGGCACACGCGGAGGAGGACGAGGAGGAGGACGAAGAGGAGGGAACCCCCTGCACGGGGATGGCGCTCAGCTGACTCACTCTGGCTTCCAGGTCTCGGAGCGCCTGGTGAAGCTCGTGAGCTTTGTGACCCGCCAGCTCCAGACTTTGTGGCTGCAGGCCCTCCAGACTGACCTTCATGCCCATGATGTAGTGCAACAGCAGGTTTAGATGTTCGTGAGCACAGGCACGCTCGTGATCGTGGATCTTCTCCTTCTCCACCTCAAAGGGAAATCAATGGGGTTAAAGGGTTAGTTCACCCCTAAATGAAACTTCTGTCAGTAATTACTCTCCCTCATGTTTTTCCAACCCCGTAAGACTTTCGTTCATCTTCGGAACACCAATTAAGATATTTTTGATTAAATCTGAGAGCTGGATCACTCCTCCATAGGCTTCTTAAGGGATCGAAACTGGCCGGCCCAAAAGTTATGAAAGACATCGTTAAAATAGTCCGAGTGACTAAAGTGGCTCAACCTTAAAGGAGTAGTTCACTTTTAAAAAAACTTTTGCTGATAATTTACTCACCCCCATGTCATCCAAGATGTCCATGTCTTTCTTTCTTCAGTCGAAAAGAAATTAATGTTTTTGATGAAAACATTCCAGGATTTATCTCCATATAATGGACTTCAATGGTAGCCAAACGGTTCAAGGTCTAAATGACCGTTTCAGTTCAGCTTCAAACGATACCAGACGATGAATAAGGGTCTTATCTAGAGAAACGATCTGTCATTTCAAAAATAAATAAAAAGTTAAAGTTTTATAGGCACAAATGCTCGCCTTGCGAACTCTCCTGTTCGAACTCGTTCATCAAAATGAACGAATCTTTTTTCGAGTCATTGACTCGTTCATCAAAATGAACAAATCTTTTTTCGAGTCATTGACTCGTTCATTTTGATGAACGAGTTCGAACAGGAGAGTTCGCAAGGCGAGCATTTGTGCCTATAAAACTTTAACTTTTTTATTTATTTTTGAAATGACCGATCGTTTCGCTAGATAAGACCCTTATTCATCGTCTGGTATCGTTTAAAGCCCTTTGAAGCTGCACTGAAACGGTCATTTAGATCTTGAACCGTTTGGTGCCCAGCAAAGTGCATTATATGGAGAAAAATCCTGGAATGTTTTCATCAAAAACCTTAATTTCTTTTCGACTGAAGAAAGAAAGACATGGACATCTTGGATGACATGGGGGTGAGTAAATTATCAGCAAAAGTTCAACTTAAACTAATCCTTTAAGTTTATCAAGCGACGAGAATACTTTTTGTGCGCAAAAAAACAAACAAAAATAACGACTTTATTCAACTATTCATTTCCTTCTCTGTGGGCCTCGAGATTTCACGTAGTGAAACTACGCAAAGCTTCTATGTTGTCATCACACGCATCACACACATGACCAGCGTCGGCCAATAGTGAGCCTACGTGTGACGTGCAACACAGAAGCTTTGCGTAGTTTCACTACGGGAAATTTTTGTTTAATTGTTTGTATTTTCATGTGCTTGTGTCATTTTAATATTATTTTTTAATATTTCTATTTAGTTTTAATTTATTTTTTAATTCATTTTTTGTTCTAGTAATTTTAGTACTTCAACTTTAACTTATTATATTTTAGTTAGCTGCCAAGTCATTTAAGTTTGAAGTTGTTCATCTAATACTTTATTTTAATTAACTTTTTTTTTTTTATTAATAATAATCTATTCTTACACAAAGCAGATTTATTTATTACTATTGCATTGTTATTTTCTGAACATTGTATATTTTCTGTATATTCTTCAATAAATTCTGTATTTCTAGTGCTACAAAATGACTTCTCACAACTGGGTAAATAAAGATTTCTTTTACGCACATATTACATTTTGTGTACATTGTACATGTACATTGAGGTTTTGGGATAGAGAAAAAGAAAAGGACAGTTCATGACCGTCTTTTGACTGCGATTGATGATGATGTTTATTGTTTGGAAACTTGTTTTCAGAAGTGCTCTTGAACAAATGCTGAGCAAATGAAGTTACAGTGCACATTTGCAACATTCCCAAGAAAAACAGACAGAAACAAAGGCATTGACTGCCATTTCATGAACTCAGTTCTTGGTCTGTTTGAATGCTACGATATAAAAAACTGTACTTACTGACATGTCACAGCCAACCACATGATATCTGCACGGAGTCCTGAATTTGCTGCAGAACTTGATGTGGTCAACATACTAAAAAGACCAAAAGAGAATTGCAAAGAAATGATCTACCATCCGTACATACTGATGTTTTCTTAAAGAAGTCAGTAATGAGTGTTACTGAAGAACAATGTTCACGTTCAATGTGACTTGGATAACTCCACACCTTTTCCCTGGGGATTTTCTTCTTCGCGCATCCTTCACAAATCATAGGATATTTGGGACAGATCTCATCATGGGCCTGTGAAAACATTATTTTGTAACATTAAAATCTTTATTCAGCCCTCAAACACATTGCATCTTTTCTTAGACCACTCACTTACCTTGATGTTTTTGAAGTGAAATGGTTCTTTACAGTATTTGCAGTTGAGCGTTCTCTCAGGACACACGCGCTCATTATGACGTTCCTGTTCGTTAAATCTAATGAGCTCCTTGCACAAGGGACAGGACAGAATCATGAACTCACACTTCCCCTCATGGCTCAACTACAAAAAAACAGAGTTATGACAACAAGTTACCAAAAGAGAAACTGTGTGCATTGTTTTTGTTGTAAAGTGTTGAAAGACTTTATTTAAATAAAGCTAATGTTAATGAACACACAACCTCATAATCTCTAATACTGCCTTTCCAGGCGCAGCCCTCGTTGATACACACAGCTGGAAGATTTTCAACTTCTCTTCTGGCAGCATTGTCGGGAAACGCCTGCAGGAAAACACAGGGAATGTCTGGCAGTAAGTCATTTAAAAAATGTTCATAACTCTTGATATTTCACATTAAGCAAAGCATTGTGCTTACGCAGCCTTGTTTGAGAATTGACGTGGGCTCTTCGAAGATGTCCTCCTTGATACAGGCATTACATTTCTGTGGTCCAGATCTAAAACGGCAAAGCGAGACACATTTTGCTATTTTGACATCAGTATTTTTGGCATCGGTACACCCTAGTCAATTTTGATTTTCAAATATTGCTTGTGAATTCTGAGTCAAAATTGCGTTAAAATGTATTTATACAATTAAACGTTTAAGTGCACTAAATTACTTATCTCAGTTATTATAATTAATTTCTATAGCTTATGTCGTATAAATATTGAACAATACATTCTGTAGACGCTGCTATTGGAAAAGCATATCGGTTAACCGGTAGTTAATTTAACTAACAACCTAGAGATAAAATAAATTCAAAGACAAAGATAAAAAAAAAAAAATGTAATACAATTTTTTTTTTTTACTTTTATACCTCAAAATTACACTATTGTTCAAAAGTTTGTGGTATGTAAAAAGTTTTTTAAAGGAATAAATTTTTTTTTCAGAAAGGACTCACATATTTATAATGTTACAAAATATTGTTTTTTTAAACTTTGTATTCATCAAAGAATCCAGAAAACTAAAATGTACCAAGGTTTCTGCAAAAATATTAAGCTGCAGTTTTCAACATTGATGTTAATCAGAAATGTTTTTTTTAAGCAGCAAATCAGATATGCCATAAATACATAAGACTTTTTTTCCAAAATAAGTTTAAAAAGACTTATCAAACTTTTGAACAGCAGTGTATTTTTTGGTTTTCACTTTCACAAAGTGTCAGTATTCTTGTGATGAATGAAATTTAATGTCAATCGCCCCTATGATGTTAGATAGATTTATTTGTTTAAATGTATTGCATCAGAACTGTATTTATCAGCATGTGTTTTCGATCAGCAGGCTGGATTACCCAACAGTCCGGTTGAAGCAGTAAGAACAAAAGCGATGACCGCACTGAGCTTGGAACGGCCTTCTCAAAATGTTCTGACAGCAGTTGCATAAATGTTTGTCTTCAAGTTTGTTGGCCAGGATCTTCTTTGGGAACCCTGGCTTGTTGTTCTCCATGGAGGACGGGGGGGAGGGTTCTTGAGCAGCCATGTCCCGCTCTAAACGTTCCTGGTCTAAACAAGAGAGAACCCATGAGGGCTGAAAAGTACCTTCAAATCTATATATGACAACAGTGGCTTTCTATTCCGTTTCCAAAAGAAGATTAGGTACTGTAACACTTTATTTTACTGTGTCATTGTTACATATGTTACATGCTATTGTAATAATAATATACACTCAAACCAAACCAAACCCTAACCCTATAGTAAGTAAATGTATTATTACAGTGTAACAAAGACATTAAAATAAAGAGGGTTACACTTTATTTTAAGGTGTCCTTGTTACAGTGTAATTATACATTTAATGTTAATGAACCATAGGGTTAGGGTTAGGAAAAGGGGTTGGTTTAGGGTTGGTTGCATGTAATTATAGTTATTACTACAGTAACTATAACATGTGTAACAAAGACACTGTAAAATAAAGTGTTCCCATATAAAGAGTAACCAACGTTTATTACACAGCTCTCTGGAATGCTTGTATCATTCTACACTCTTCTAACATAATCCAAAATTTGAAATCAATATTTTATGTCCGTGTATTTATTTATTTGGTGAGTGGCCATGTAATCAGTGAGATAATAAAGTCATGAAATAAACAATATCAGGTTGATGCAAAACCCCTCAGCTTCAGCAAGGTCCTGGTGATCTGATCTTGCATTGTTGTACATTATCATATTCCTAGCCATTTATCAAGTAATCTTACTTTAAAGAATAATAAGCACTGACATGCGAAATGTAGCATTCCTAAAAGATATTGTGCTGTCTATTATGCTTTTAGTGACATATTTAGAGCCTTTGCAGACATATTACGAACAAATTAATAAATGATTCTTTGTGCATTAGTGGGCTACAATTGAGTGCGTCTGATAAGATTGTTATGCTTTACAGGGTGAAATGGAAAGACTCTATCTAAAGTAATTGGATAAGCATTAATAAACCTAAGCATGCACAGCAGGTCTCTTAATATGAATCCAATCTCTTTGTTTCTGTTTCAGTTTTGCTTGAATACGTGCGTGTTTCCACAGACATCCAGTCCACACAAATGGTGTATAGTGTAGAGTGGTGTAAACATTCCCAGGAAACACACACTAGAACCTTTCATGCATATCTGAAAGCACTTTCATCAGATATCGACCATGCAGCCCGTCGATATACATCATACAGTCAGCTGACAATTGCAAATCTCATATTTTCCTCTGTTGCTAAGCAAATGCAACATCTTTCGAATGGTTGTTGCGTCCGTTCTGTACCGCCACGCCTCTTTTACATGTACGGATATGTTGAGCCTGACAATAAACATGCATGCAATAAAATAAGAATCAAACAATTGATTATGAGAGCGAGGTACGCACTTACCGCACCGCGATGAGATTTCGCTTTCATTTGCTCGGTTGTGCTCGCGCTGTGACGGATCGAGGCGCGCGGCGCGGCTGCTGTGTTTTGGTGGTCGACATTGTTGAGAAGAGCGCGTGCTCTTTCACAGGATTACGTCATAATGTGAGCGTGCACTGGGCTTTTGGATATCTAAAGCAGTTTTCTTTTTTTTCGGGAGGACTGTCTATCATGGTTAAAAAAAAAGAAAAAGAAAAAGGATTATTTTGTCCGTAATGTAAATACATAATATCCATTTAAATGTATACTATTCATATTTTTTATTTGTATCATTGTTTCTTGTTGGGTGCATAATGTAGTTTAATGTATTCATAGCGATTGTTATTAATAATAATATATATATATATATATATATATATATATATATATATATATATATATATATATATATATATATATATATATATATATATATATATATATATATATATATATATATATATATATATATATATATATATATATATATGTATATATATATATATATATATATTTTAATAACAATCGCTATGAATACATTAAACTACATTATACTACATTGAAACTACATACTAATTACAATAGTAATTAATATGCATATTATACATTTGTATTAATATTAGGCCTATGTATTTATATTATACGCCGACCAAAATGAAATAAACCCAAATATATATATATATATATAATATATATATTTGGGTTTATTTCAATAACAATAATAACAATCGCTATGAATACACTAAACTACATTATACTACATTAAACTACATACTAATTACAATAGTAATTAATATGCATATTATACATTTGTATTAATATTAGGCCTATGTATTTATATTATATGCCGACCAAAATGAAATAAACCCAAATATATATATGGGTTTATTTCATTTTGGTCAGCGTATAATATAAATACATAGGCCTAATATTAATACAAATGTATAATATGCACATTAATGACTATTGTACAGACTCTGAACAGCATCATATTTAAAAAAATAAAGGTAAATAAATAATAGTGAAGAATTATGCACACACACACATATATATATGTGTGTGTGTGTGTGTGTGTGTGTGTGTGTACATATACATATATATATATACTAACTTTCTCAGTATTATTAATTAGGGTTTATTTTATTCTGTTTATTTCATTTTTGTACATTTTATTTTGGCCTCTGAAAAATTATTTTGGGAGGGGAACATTTTTAATTAAAATGTATTCTAAGACGCTCTTATTGCTGTTTAGATTACTGTTTATCTGGGAGGTGATAATAATAGCAATACTGTTCTCGGTCAGTTGTATGTTTGGATTAGATTTGGACACATACTGTAACTGAATATACATAATAGATTCCATTCTACCACTAGAGGCGCTAAAGTGCTGCTGTTACACAACACTACCACTAGAGCGACGCTATTCGTCATCCTACCGCTAGAGGAGCTGCAGCACAAGCGCGCACCCGACGCGCGCTCCTCACGGCATTCCACAGCTGATAGAGGGATGAGAGAGGGATGCTAAGGAAATGTTTTCCTTCAACACAGAAAATGGGCTATCGTGAACTTCATCCGACAGCAGAATGCGACTGAAATATCGCAGGCGAAGACCGTGAGTCAAGTAATGAGTTTGTTAAAAGTAAGACGGATCTGAATTGCAATGAAACGTTGCCGTGTTTTTGTATTGTAATCGACACGTCGCTTTAGCTGTGAAGCTGATGGCCGTTAAAAACAGACGAGCGCAAATAATTCACCTCACTAAACACACACAGGTATCAATGAGAGCCTTCATGGGGACAGTATTCACACTTCCCTGTCAGAGCTTCAGCGGGATTTAACAGCTTACAGAGTGAATCTAAACCTCTGCTGACTGACTGGAGCTGCAAAAGAACATTTAACAGCTGGTCCATTCTGAGATTGTGGTAAAACTGACAGCTTTCTTACAGCGGTTTTATCAACTGACAGGTGAGAGAGATATTAGTTTCGTTGTGCTTAACGTACGACTGAATGCTTTTGGATGGTGCTTATTTGGGTTTAGACTTAATAGAAGAATGTTGTGTATAATTATTTTTTACAAAATGTAACGTTAACTATTATCTGATTAACGTTACTTGGTTTGTTTGACGTAAGTTAGCTATAACGAATTTGTTACCAGATTTTTGTATCCTGGTTAACGTTACGTAACGCCGTTACATAATGTGATATGGATTTTGTGAGAAAGTTAACTATAAATGCATATCGTTTTTGCTGCTGATAAATAACTAATTAAATCATGTGTCAGCTGCTTCTGTCTTAATCTGAAGTTGTGATGATGTTTATGTTGCTTGTAAATGTAAAATATGATGCCATAATACTTTGTTTTCTGCTTGTGTGTATATATATATATATATATATATATATATATATATATATAATGGTATTTTAGTAATTAAATGCATTTTAAATAAAACTGTAATTAAAAATTATGCTTCTCAGTTATCCGAAACATTAAATATTATTATGCAATGTCGTTTCTGCTGTTAAAAGCAGTTTCTAATTATTTTAGTAGGTTAGTTCGGCTCAAGTTTGTTCACCCAAAAGTCTGTTATCATTAACTTTTTGGAACTCAAAAGGAGATATTTTAAATGTTCACGCTGCTCTTTTCCATTCAAGTTACTTTTCCCAACTTAAATGTTGGTCCAATTGTCACACAAACTTAATTTATGGCTATGGAAAACTTAGCGAATGAATCTAGACTACTTTTATGTTGCTTTTTGTTTCCTTTTTGGTCACTGTGCTTTCATTATGTTGAAAAGAACAATGTAAACATATGGCTAAACATCTCCTTTTGTGCTCCTCGAAAATGTAAATGACATGAATGTTGTGAAATGTCAAATTTTGCTGATCTTGACTGAAATTGATTTTTTTCCCACAGGTGATGCCAGTAGACCAGGATGGACCGATATCATCACAACAGTTACAGTAGCTAAAATGCCACATTTTAGGATTGTAAACTGTTGAAAGAGAAAGTCACCATCTGCTGACTGGATTTGGCACCATAATAACCTTCTTCCGGAGCTCAATATATTGAAGACGGACTCCACTTTTGACCTTTAGACCACGTCATACCTGCCGTCAATATGTTTGCTTAAAGTTTGAAGTCTTCGATCTTTGACGCTGCAGCGAGTGTTTCCCTGAAGACCCGGTTTTAGTATTCTTGGACTGTTGAAGAGCCTTTGCTCGAGATGTTTACCGCTCTGAAGAAGCTAGTGGGCTCTGAAGCAGGGCAGCTCAGGGATAGAAATATTCCTGCAGGCCTGCAATCCATGAACCAGAGTCTACAGAGACGCTTCGCCAAGGGTGTACAATATAACAGTAAGAGCTTCATGATTAATCTTTTTTTTTTTTTTTTTTTGAGTAGAGCCTTTCATAAATAGTTTTCGGTTGTGTTAAAGACATCCATTGTTTTCTTTTGGGCTTGTAGAGTGAGTTTTTCCCTTGTGGTTTGTCTAAAGTATTACACTGTTGAATTCTTTATTTCAGACACATAGGTCAAAAAGAAGCAAAAACATAATTTACAAACAACAAACATTTCCTAAAACAGGAGAAATACCTTATCACTTATTCTAAGATCATTTAAAACTATTATAATTGTAATTTTTTTTATCAATTAATCAACACATGTCTTTCATGATCTGCATAAATTCCTAAGACATAAGATCATGTAAAGTGGGAACATTATTAGATAGAAACATTTGACTCACTTATCCTCTTTGAACACGGCATTACTTGCTATGTTAAAGTTTGTTGACAAATTAAAAACAAATTGACATTTGTGAGACGTGTTTAATTTGATATGCTTATGTTAGGGACAAAAAAAATGTGTCTCACATTTCACCCTCAAATCATTAAAAAATAATTAATAAATAAAAAAATATGAAATGTAAAAAGATTATGTATTAAAATATTTTAGTTTAAGAAAGCCTTTATGGGACTCATAAAAGTGTTTCATTGTGACATTGTCATAACAATGAAACACATCTGATGCATTATACCACCATATAAAAGAGAAAAAACATGATGGAAAAAAATATATATATATTATTTAAATTTTGACATAATCATGGCTAGGTTTTCCTTACTGCTTTCAATTTATGCTGAAAAAAACAAAACAAAAATACAGTAATGGAAATCCAATGAGAATCCAAGGTAAAATGTCGTTCAGTGTATTTTAGTGATGAGATTTTGTGCATTTCAGTAGTGAATTTGGATTTAAAAATGCGTTTAAATGTCATGAATTAATCCAAAAATGTAAATAAGCTTTATTTTCTGTCAGTTATTTAAATCACAATTAGCACAATTATTAAACACAAAGTTAAAGATCCGTCCACTGGAAAATTTGAGACATCATAACAATTGTCAATGTTGGAGATCGAGAGCCCACTCTGTCTTAAATGCACAAGATGTAACTGAGTCCTTGTACTGGTGTGATGCAGTTGTGTAGACGTGTTTTGACATGTGATGCTGCATCAGTGAGCCAGTCGGTGGTTCTTCACTGATCTCGCTTTGAATACTCATTGTGCTGTTTCCGCAGCTCTGTGTTAATAAAAAATGCATGAATGATACACGATCACCCACCTACTGGCCTATTTTTCCAGTCGCTTCTCCTTGGTAGAGGTTTCTTTTTTTAGACACGCAGATATCCCAAGATACCAAGCATTTCAGCTGTGAAAAGGGCATTTTGGTAGATATGTGCTGTATCAGTACAAATCTAGCACATAGTAAGTGTGAAAGGTTTGTCTTGGTTCAGATCTTTCCATGTACAATCAGTGCCCTGTGGACAGTTCATTTGGGGTTTTATATCAGTGTTCTCCTATCTCCTTGTTTCTCTCAGTGAAAATAGTCATCCGTGGGGACAGGAACACCGGTAAAAGTGCACTTTGGCACCGACTTCAAGGGAAAAAGTTCCTGGAAGAGTACATCCCCACGCAGGAGATCCAGGTCACCAGCATTCACTGGAACTACAAAAGTGAGTATCAATGGTAACGTTCACACTGATTATGTGGTCTTTTATGAAGGGAAGTGGTTTATTTTATAACACCAAAAATAAAGTAGACTACCCTAACAGAAAGGTCATAGGTCAACGTTTGTAAAGTATCAGAAGCTGTTTACAATATTCCTTGACTGTACATTTCTGACTGTGTTTTGTTTTTGCTTTTATTCACAGCGACAGATGATGTAGTGAAAGTTGAGGTCTGGGATGTGGTAGACAAAGGTGAGTGTTTAGAAAACACACTGGAACTAGTGACATAGAACTGGCCTGAAGTTATTCATGCTATACAGCTATTTAGTTTAGCAGTGAGCCTACACACGAATCCGACGAGCGTTCTGTGTAGGCTGCCATCTTGTGGCGACGCCATTACTGAGCTGTTACCGGTATGTAAACAAACCTCCGTGATAACGAACGCACCCTCGATGACAGCTACAGCCAGGCAGAATGACTTGTTGGGTTGATGATGTTAGACAGTGGCCTCCAGTCACAGATGAAGGTACAAACGATCTTAAAGATTATTCATGAAAATAGCTTGGCAAGCTAGCTAGGCTAACGTTAGCTAATGAGGAAACTATAAAAAGATCTGTCCATTTGGCAACAATAAATAAATGAATGACATCAAATAAACGAATTCATGTTTTTCATTTGTGTCCATTATTTATCTTATTTTCACATTGCAAAAGGCAAGGGTAAGGTACAGCTAGAAAGTATACATAATATCGACCAATTAGTGTTTTTAAACCATGGAAAGAGGTCAATATAACAGCAGGAGAACAATTATGTCACATAACGTTACATTTAGCTCAGGAAAGCCATTTAATGACCATAGCATGTTAATTGAATAGAAAAAATAGCTAGAGAGGAGATTTTGCTGAGCACTATATTACATATTTATTATATTTTTTACTTATGTCATTAAATAATTGTTATTATAACAAAAACTGCATTATATTTAATTTAATTTGTTATTTTAATTTGTTATTTAAAAAAAATTCTGTCACAGTCAAGCAAATCAAACATTAACAACAGACATAACAGTAATGTTACTAACGTTACTGCCCCAATGCGCCCTTTACTGCCGCCATTGAAACAATTTAAACCGGAACATGTTTTCCCACTCGACATTATAAAAGTTGTAACGTTAGTGACAGTCGTAAATCGCGGGCTGTTTATTCCAGTGGACGCAAGTTGCAAATAAAACAATAGGAGGCAATGGCGCAACGCTACCCAGCAACAGCTCAGTTATGGCGCCCGCTTACTTCCGGTAGTTTCGCCGGATTCGTCTATTCCAGTGCAAACGCTTTGAAAATGATCAAATCATTAAAATGAATGTGTGTAAAATTAAGTCACCTGAATTGTTTTTCTCACACAGTAGATATTTGCACTCATAAGTGCAAACCTAAATGAAATTGCTATTTTAGTATGTTTTCAGCTATCTTTGAAGGAAAAGGAAGTAATGTTGTATTTTACTTATATTTTTGTGGTCTGCAAATACTTCAAGGACAAAAGCTTCCTCTTCCAGAAGGTGTAGGTGAGAACTAGTTGTCAAGTAGTTAAACATTAAGCATTGTGCGTGTGTGTGTGTGTGTGCTGTGGTCTTCACCTCTCTTCTTTATAAAACTGTGCCCAGAATAGACATTGCCTTCAGTAGTCTGTGCTGTTCTTAGACTCTAGATTTTAATGTACTTGCATTAAAATCAGATGGCCACTTTTTCCCAGACTACATTTATTTTAATAGGGGGCTTTTTATATTTTTTTTTTTTTTTTATATAATAGATTGCATTTTGTATTCATATGTAATAATTTTACAGCTTTGTAAAATTACTGTTAAAATTATCTTCTAACATGTCAAGTCTTGTAACCTTTTTTTCTATAGCGCTTTATACAATTCAGATTGTTTCGAAGCAGCTTTACAGTGATAAACGGGAAAATAATGATCAATGATGGAAACATAATTCGATTCTACTGCTCTAAAAAAACAATAGTGTCATTGTTCAGCTGAAGTCAGTTCAGTCTTGATTCAGTTCAGTCCAATAACTGTAAAGTTAATCACACATGAAATGAGTTCTTTTCAGTCATAAGCAGCTCTGCAGAAAAACAGTGATGTCATCGTCCAGCTCCAGTTCCAGTTCTCCAGTTCTCATCCATAGTTTCAGTGCAGTCAAATTGATTATATTGCTGAATATTAGGTGTAAATATTAGTATCATTATTGCAAACAGCCCTCTTTTAAAATTGCATGAAGTGGAAATTCAATAGATTTTTCAGCTTGTGGTTTAAATTGTGATTGAACAACAATATTACTTTCAGATATGCCAGAGTTTTCTATTTACCCTCCTAGGGCCAGATTTACTATCAGCTTGCACCAGTACAAATCCTCTTTTGGCATTAAAAAGCTACTGTCAGGATTTACTAAAGACACGCAGTGAAAAATTAGCGCTGAAAAGCCGTAAACAGGGTTATTTTTGCGGCTGATCTCATTGCATATGCATTTATAGGAGTTTCCCTTTCAGACGCAGTGTTTATGGGAGGAGAGAATTTAAAGTCTCCACTTAGTCAACAATTTAATCTTTTAAAACTCATCTTTGATCATCAAAAAGGCGTATTTAAAACTTTTTTCCTGTGAGAAAAATGTATTTTTGCATTAAAATAGCTTGAATGTAACTACACCCTTACTTCATTTAGTATACGCGGATTAATGAATATGCAAATGAGCCCCGCCTCCACTTACTCATACAGGCTCGTTGACAAGTCGATGTATCAGAATAGTAATGCGTTTAAAACTTTTATGTATCGCTCTCTACAACGTCAGACACATTACGGTAATTAATATGATTAGCCTTTTGTTTGACAACGTTATTAAACAGCTAATAATGTGTTGCTAATTTTACACAACCCATGTTACCATTCTCCATCTCGGAGTCAGACAGCTTCCTTCTAAAAGTCAGTATTCTTAGAAACGATTAGAACGTCAGTGAAGAAAGGCATATAGTTCATCAAAACATCTTGAATAATTCACCTGCTAATTGCTAAATGTGCACGATTTTTCCAACCCGATCTCACGGCAATTCGTACGAATTTTACGAGGTGGCTAATTCGTACAAATTCATACGACCTCACTCGTACGAATTAGTGCGATTTTTACTAAATCGTACATATTTTACGAGTTGCCCAATTCGTACGAATGACCTACCCCTGACCCCGCCCCTAAACCTAACCATCACGTGGGTTTAGACAAATCATACGAATTCGTACAAGTGAGGTCGTGAGATAGCGTTGATTTTTCATATCAGCAGAAAAATAACCCGGGATAACCATAGACTGTAAAAAATATGGACAAAGTGTCTGTGACGTCACCCATAGACTTAGAACTGTTTTGAGGCCGTTTATGGGGGGTATGGGCGGCGCCATCTTTTGAAAATCTTGGGAAATCCTAACCCCGCCCACCTTCTGGCCAATCCATATATGGGTAAAAGGGCGGGCTTTGTGTGAGACTGAGCCGGCCGGTGGACGTGCTTCTTCAGCCAAGCAGCCTCAGCTATCTGTACCGTTACAAGATCGACTGGCAGACTAGGCTACTTTTTACAGCCAGTATCATTCTTATGTTGAAACTCCTTTTCCTCGATTTACTGAAGCCTTTGTGTAAAACGCATTTGCAGCTGCATAGCTCGCTCATAGGCTGTGCTGCGGCAACTGCACATCCACTGGCACGGGCGCCGTCGACGTACGACCAACTAGCTCGCAGATCAGTCTATTCTTATGCTACATTTATTCATTCAGTTATAACCATAGGTAAAGTACCTCGGACGCTAACTTATCTGAGGCGATTTAATGCTAACTGTTGCAGCGCCACTGCCCACAAACATTGATGCTAAATAGTGCTAACTACGTGAAATAGTAGTGGAATGTCACTTACCGGAGAAAAAGGAGCAAAGTACTCCTAGTCCTACAGTGTCGGTTAGTGCAGTTTACAGCAGAGCAACCCATGTTATGTACGATATTTCAATACAAATGTTCAGAAAGGATACAGAGGTGGTATGATGTGTTGTGTCAGATCATGGCCGAGACGTCAAATTTCAGGAATTCCACTCGGCGCAGCCCGTTATCAGCTGTCAATCAAGCTGTCAATCAAAGTTAACCACGCCCTTATTTGTCATACATTTTATATCTAAATACGATCTAAACTAACGAGGTAGAAAAAAATTCACACCCCTCACAGTTGTCAGGCACTCGGAACCTATCGAAAAATACAATAAAAGTCCATGGGACCAACCTGTAAAAACATGAATTTATGCTGTGAAAACGGACATTTTAACATGGGGTCTATGGATATTTGCTCCCTTTTGGGACCTCCCTCTAGCGGATTTTCGATGCATTGCAGTTTTTCGCACTTCCGGGTAGGCTTCATTTTTCAGATTAGAATGTTGCCGCTTGGGGATAACCTGGCTTCTCCTGAGACTTAACAGTTAATTGATATGCTAAAGCCATCCCACACGTTGACCTGATTGGTTACAAGGTAGTTTGTGATGTAAAGCACCTGCGATTTCAAACCGCGTTTTTTAGACTCTATTTTTCACTGCAGTTTTAAGGAGAAAATACTCAGAAATGGTGTTGACTTATGAATTTGCACATGGTTGTTCTTAAAGCATATTAAAAACACCACATAGACATATAAACAACATTAAAAACTTGATTATCTCAAAGGTGATTTACTAAGGTTTGCGCTAGACAATTTTCTAGTATTATTTACCGCCACAAAGAAAGCATGTCTGAAACCAGACGCTAATTTGCGCTGCTCTTGGTAGATAGCGTTGATCATTATGGAAATGATCCGGCTGCGTCTGTGTTCTTTCATTTGTGTGTCGCCAGTAGATCATGCGCAAAACTTTCCACTCTCATCTGCGCTTTTATGGGATTGTGCTCTCGCGCTAATTTGCCCTGTTTAGTAAATCCGGCCCTTTGTGAATTAGTACAACCTTTTACCATGGTAACCATAGTTTTCATAAAAATACCATATTATAAGTATTGTTAAAAATTTGTTATAACTGTCTGTCATCAAAAAAATACATACAAATTGGGAAAAGATTTACACTGCTGGAAAGAGATCCCATCTGAGTTTATGAGGGTTTATAGCAGTAACAATATCTATATTAACTACAGGAGCAAACTGTGGTTACCATGAAAATATTTGCACAAGGAGCTGCTGCTGTTGATCCAGGTCTGCTCTAATTATTTTCTATATGCTTTTGCCCTTTTCATTTTATATATGTGTAAATATTGAAATAAGCTATTGAATAATGTGTCACTGGGGTTAATGTGAATAGTGGTTTCTGGGAAGGAGGGGTGAGACTTTCTACTAAATCATTAGATGATAAATATCTAATATAAAAATTTATTTGAGATGTTTTCAAAAGTAATGCGTCAAAATGCAATATATTTATTGAAGTTTATATAAACCGCACATACAGGTGAAACTCGAAAAATTTGAATATTGTGTAAAGTTTCACCTTTTAAGTTGAATTACTGAAATAAATGAACTTTTGCACGATATTCTAAGTTTTTGAGTTTCACCTACTAGGCTACATGTTCTGTTTAAAACTTAAAAGAGAAAAAAATACATGATTGGTAGGAAACCAGTTACAATTTGAAAAAGTTAAAATGTATAGACATTTTAAGAAGTATATCAAGTACTCATTGACAGTGTGTTGACTGTCTTGGGTAGTTAAGCTTCAGAAAATCAATAATGAGATGGCTTTGAATGGATTTTTTGAGTTACAAATTAAAAAAATAAAAAGGCGAGAATAAAGAACCCTAAACTCTAACACAAAGAAACAGTTTTAGCTTTCAGCATGATATGGTTCTAAAAAGAGCTGTTACTATGTTTAAAGAACCTTTGAAAAACCATTGGTTTTTTTCATAGTTGTTTGAGTAATGTGTCAGTAGAGCCTGACATCAGTAGAGCCTGACAATAGCAACGCCAAGGTCATTGGTTTGATTCCCAGGGAATGCATGGACTGATAAAATGTATACTTTGAATGCAATGCTGGTCGCTTTGGATAAAAGCATCTGCCAAATGCATCAATGAAAATTCAAATAACATCCCATTGTTTTTCTGAGTAATACTTTACTTTTGAATTGATGTGACTGACTAGGTAAGATAGTCAGGGTTCCAGGAGTCTAAAACATGTAAAGATTCAGAGCAACTTGTGTAAGAGGACACCATGAATAAGCATATGAGTATTACTCTTCTCGTATCTTAGACTCACAGTTGCTGAAGTGCAGCCACACTAATTGTAATAACTGTGTTTCTCCAACTACTGCAGGGAAAGGGAAAAGACGCGGAGAGAATCTGAAATTGGAAAATGAACCTCAGGAGGTATTCACTGCTGTTTTGTTAAACAACTGTTAAAACGTTTGGGGTTGATAAGTCTTTTCTGCTCACCAAGGCTGTATTTATTTGATCAAAAATACAATAAAACAGTAATATTATGAACTATTATTACAATTTTATTTTATTTTATAATTGAATATATGGTAAAAATTTAATTTATTCCTGTGATCAAAGCTGCATTTTCAGCATCATTACTCCAGTCTTCAGTGTCACATGATCCTTCAAAAATCATTCTAATATGATGATTTGCTGCTCAAGAAACATTTCTGATTATCAATGTTTAAACAAGTGTGCTTCTTAGTTCAAACGAATTGCATTTATTTGAAATAGAAATCATTTGTAACATTATAAATGTTTTTACTCTCAATTTAATGTGTTCTTGCTGAATAAAAGTGTTACTGTCTTTTTAAAAATATGCAAACTTTAAAACTGTTTTGTAAGTCTGCTTGACAATTGCCATGTGATTAATACTTCAAATGTTTTGTTTTGACTGAATTAAAAATGTATTGTGTAATACATTTAATTTACTAATTAATCATTTGACATCTTCCAATATATCATGAATCTGTGAGCTATTTGCAAGATAATTTTAATGTTCAGTCAGCTGGAAACAACATGGTAATCTTGGAGATGTTTTGTTCTCTGTGCAGTCTGAATCCGACATGGCTCTCGATGCAGAGTTCCTGGATGTTTATAAGAACTGTAATGGCGTGATCATGATGTTTGACATCACCAAACAGTGGTAAGGAATCTGTCATTCCTTCTGTTTTTCCCCACATTCACTCTCTCCAAACCCCACATTCATTCTCCATCGCCCTCTCCTGTCCCTTCACCACTCCGTTCCCGCCCCTGCCGTCCCTCTTTTTGGTCTGACAGCTATCGGTGGTCAGGATCAGGTGGAGGAACTGGGCGTTGGGTTGCAGCGGGTCATTGAGCGTCTCTTTCACAGTAAAGTCGAGGCCACTGTCAGGAACAAAGAGCGCAATGAAACCAATACCTGCAGCTCAGTGTCTCTTAAAGGTTCTGACTCTGTTTATCTCTCTGCTCATTGGATCTGCCTTGCATTCTGATAATGGGTCTTTACTTTTTGACCCAAGCACACCGTCACAGGTGCCCGTTGTTTGCAAACCTGGGCTCTGCTTTATTGATAGGGCTGAATTTTTGCTTAAACCATTGGGAATGTTATGACCAGCAGGTACTTTTTGTGTTTAGACCAACATTTAATCAGTACCCCATTCTTTGTGGATTGCATAACAAGATCTAACATATTTAAGATCTGATTCCTCACTGTCTCATTCGGTTCTTCAAATATGCCTGCAATGCATATACACTCACCTAAAGGATTATTAGGAACACCTGTTCAATTTCTCATTAATGCAATTATCTAATCAACCAATCACATGGCAGTTTCTTCAATGCATTTAGGGGTGTGGTCCTGGTCAAGACAATCTCCTGAACTCCAAACTGAATGTCAGAATGGGAAAGAAAGGTGATTTAAGCAATTTTGAGCATGGCATGGTTGTTGGTGCCAGACGGGCCGGTCTGAGTATTTCACAATCTGCTCAGTTACTGGGATTTTCACGCACAACCATTTCTAGGGTTTACAAAGAATGGCGTGAAAAGGGAAAAACATCCAGTATGCGGCAGTCCTGTGGGCGAAAATGCCTTATTGATGCTAGAGGTCAGAGGAGAATGGGCCGACTGATTCAAGCTGATAGGAGAGCAACTTTGACTGAAATAACCACTCGTTACAACCGAGGTATGCAGCAAAGCATTTGTGAAGCCACAACACGCACAACCTTGAGGCGGATGGGCTACAACAGCAGAAGACCCCACCGGGTACCACTCATCTTCACTACAAATAGGAAAAAGAGGCTACAATTTGCAAGAGCTCACCAAAATTGGACAGTTGAAGACTGGAAAAATGTTGCCTGGTCTGAGTCTCGATTTCTGTTAAGACATTCAGATGGTAGAGTCAGAATTTGGCGTAAACAGAATGACAACATGGATCCATCATGCCTTGTTACCACTGTGCAGGCTGGTGGTGGTGGTGTAATGGTGTGGGGGATGTTTTCTTGGCACACTTTGGGCCCCTTAGTGCCAATTGGGCATCGTTTAAATGCTACGGCCTACCTGAGCATTGTTTCTGACCATGTCCATCCCTTTATGGCCACCATGTACCCATCCTCTGATGGCTACTTCCAGCAGGATAATGCACCATGTCACAAAGCTCGAATCATTTCAAATTGGTTTCTTGAACATGACAATGAGTTCACTGTACTAAAATGGCCCCCAGAGTCACCAGATCTCAACCCAATAGAGCATCTTTGGGATGTGGTGGAACGGGAGCTTCGTGCCCTGGATGTGCATCCCACAAATCTCCATCAACTGCAAGATGCTATCCTATCAATATGGGCCAACATTTCTAAAGAATGCTTTCAGCACCTTGTTGAATCAATGCCACGTAGAATTAAGGCAGTTCTGAAGGCGAAAGGGGGTCAAACACAGTATTAGTATGGTGTTCCTAATAATCCTTTAGGTGAGTGTATATATACAGCTCACTAAATGAATGTCGGCTGTGATCATCTTGATTTTTTTTTTTTTTTACGCTTCTTGGTCCATGTTTAATCCGAATCTCTTGCCAGGTAAATGGTCGAATAACCTTGATTATTTTTCAGCTTGGTATTTATGCTGCTCTCAGGCCGGTAAAGAGGAACACACAAGAAGATGTATTGCTTTGAATTTCCATGCTGCTTGCTAATAAGATCCTGGCATTTCACTATGCTTTTTCCCCCCAACATATATGTGGGTGGTATGAAGTCTGGGAGTGGTGGCCAATAATGCAAATAAGATTATTTGATGAATCGGTTCAAAAATATCTTAAACTGTACTGAATGTTAAAACTCACATTTTTAGATTATGATGTATAAAATTGTGCAATACACAAGAAAATCACATCAATGTATGTTTCGTGTGAATCACAGACTCTGTCTTTACTGCAGGACGTTCAACTACATCCTTAGGGAGTTACCAAAAGTGCCAACACACGTCCCAGTGTGTGTCCTGGGTAACCAGCGGGACATGGGCGAGCACAGGGTCATCTTACCCGATGACATCAGAGATTTTATCAACAGTCTGAACAGGTGAGCAGATAAGGTTAAAGTCGGCATGAAACGGAAGTTGTGATAGTCTTTTGTTTCCTATTGTGTCGTATATCCGAGTGAAACGGCTTCTCAAACAAGAAAAGATGTAGGACGGGACTTGATTTTGTCCATTGGGATTGATCGGATGGTTGTCAGGGTACCCGCGGGTCTTAAAAGCCTTGAAAAAGTCTTGAATTTGATCATCTCAAATTAAGGCCTTAAAAGCCTTGAATTTTGTATACCAAGTCTTGGATTTCGTTACAAAGGTCTTATTTATGTGTTTGCCTTTGCTAGGATTAAGTTCATACCGTAACTAAATTAACTGTTACTAATGTAGGCTAATTCAAAATGTATGCAACGTTGAGTCAGAGACAATTTTGGTTGAGTGCACCTCGCGCTCCACGTCATAGCAGAAAAAGCGATCGCGTGCGCATCCGTTACTATGGTTACTAGGCAAGTGAGGTACAGAACAAGATAGTACCTAGCCTAGTTTAATCCGCTGTGGCCACAAATGACAGAATTTAAACCCCAAATACGAGCTTTTCTGTTAAAAGAACATATTTTCTACCCGGTCTTTTCAATAGTATCTGGCAGGGGCGTTGCTAGACCCATTTTACTGGGGCACGTGCCCCAGTATAAATCTGCTGTGCCCCAGTAAATCTGAAGTTTGAGTTTAACAATTTATTTTATTTGTCAGTGTATTTAATAGAAATTATATTATAGGGTAATAGAAATGATCTATTTGCAACGCAGTAATAAACCAATCAATGCTTGTAAAAGCAACGCAGTTTAACCGAAACCGAAGCTGACCCACGCGACAGAAATCCGCGCGCGTCTGTGTTTCCTAGCAACAGCAGCGCGCACACATCTGAGCACACCGAAGTCCGGTGTTGGCACGCGAGGTAGGCTATGAAAACATGACGAAACAAAAGTTTCTAAATAATACAAATAATCTTAAAAGTAAAATTGAGTCAGAGTCAAGTGATTGACCGTTTTGCCAAAATGAACAATAGTCGGTAGCCGTAGCCTACAGTTTAATGCTCAACAAATAAATCAACAGTTTGGACTTGGCTGGGGAACTTTGTTTTCTTTTAGAATATACATGCTCTTTATTTTATATAGTATATATTAACTCTTTATTGATTTATTGAAATGTTAATTGTAAATTCTTGAAAAATATAAAGGCTAATTATTCATTATTAACATTGTGTAGGGTAGACTGGGCACAGTTGAGACAGGTACAGTTGAGACACCTTAAATAACTTACTTGCGTGCGCAGCAAGCACAAGTTGTGATTTTTGCTGTGCACATGCGTATTAGTGTCATCTTTGATCGTGGGAAATTTGAACAATGGACGCATCTCCGATCCGAAAATATCGGCAAAGTTTTTTTTCTAAGGTAAGACATTCACTTCACCATGCACACTGAATAGCTTATTATCCTTATGTAACTGTTAAACGTAACTGGTGTCATCACAAACGTTATTCTGTGCTCTAAAAACTGGCATATTTCATGGTATTGTGTCATGCAAGATCATTGCGAAATCTAGAGAAATGTGCGAGGTGGCCAGCGGGGTATGGTTGAGACACAACTGTATACCCCCGATAGATTTCTATTAAGAAACACACTGTTTAGTTGTTCAGTGTTATGATAACAGGTTTAACGTCGTAATTAGCCAGCATAGGACGCAAATGAAAATAAAATTTGATATTTGTGATATTTAAACTGTGTATTATTAATAAATATATTAAATATATTGTTCCTGTTTTATATATTTTAACCAGTGCTAATTTAAATAAACTGAATGAATTTAAATGGATGAATAAATAAACATGTTGCCCAATTGTTTTTTTTTTCTTTATTTGTCTTTATTTATTATATTTGCAATGAACATTTAGTTACCTTTACATCATTAAAAATGGGTGTCTCAACTGTACCATGCACTGTCTCAACTGTACCACACATGGGTACAGTTGAGACAAAGTTAAGACAAAAAGCACCTTATATTTATGGGCTAATTGTGGAAAATATAAACTACTTATGGGTACTATTGATTGATAATATCTTAGTCTACAATCTAAAGAAATGTCATGTGGCATGTCATGTAGAAATTCACTTCTTTTCAGTATCTATTTTTGTGTGAAAAATCAAAACGCAAAAAGTGTCTCAACTGTACCCATGCAGTCTACCCTAATGTAGAAGAATGCAAATGTGCAAGAAAGTTTTCTCTCCGTTTTCTATTTTCTTAAGTTTTCTATTTTCATACAGTGTTGCCTTTTATGGCACAAAGAAAAAAGAAATTCGTGCTAACATGATTTTAAAGCTATTGTTATCCAATTTGTTTGCATTCAAACACCTTAAAATGCACATATGTAGGTCCGAGAAATCCAAATTTTCTCGGGGGAGCATGCCCCCGAACCCCCCTAAGTTACTCTACCCAGCATGGTGTTTTTGAAACAAACTAATTTAATTTAAAAAAGCCCAGCCCTCCTTAGTTACGCTCCTTAGTATCTCAGACAAACAATGGGGGACCTGTGCCCCAGTAGAGCTTAATGTCTAGCAACGCCCCTGGTTATCTGGCAACCATGCGCACGCTCTCTCTCTACACTGCTGAAGCGCGGATTATCTGAAAACACAGACAAGCTGGTTGGCAACAGTTGGCATTCAGCGATCTTTATTTAAAATGTAGCACTTGAATTAAAGTGTCATCCAGTCGGTCTGTGTTCTGTCACGAGCCGCTTGCGCTGTTTGTGCGACTAAATCTGCGATCAAAATGCAGGCTGATATATCCACCAGTGTTCATACGAGCAAGAATGCAATGTTTCCCGAATATCCACACGATTTCAAATGTGACATTGATTTTATACAACAGTAAAAAAGAAAAAAAAAAGGGTAACATTAAGTGATGTACTACATTTAAAACAGCATTGTTAGGCTTATTGCTCTGTTTTGCAACGAAATATGTGGCTTTAAACGAATCGTGAGATCCAATTAATGAATGACTCAAAGACTCACCCATAAAGATAGGGAGTTACCGCCACCTACTGGCGATTTTAATGTTTTTTTAACATTGCAAATTTAATGAACATTGTTTTATTTAAAGCATTATTTCTGTCTTTTTTTTAAGGTATTACAAAGGTAAAAAAAAAAGGGATAATTAGAACTGCACAAGTGCTAAAGTCGTGCAATGTCAATAATTTCTCATAAGCCTAATTGAATTGGCCTAGAGAGAATAATTATTATGACATTTTCTGTCTAAAGACTACATATAAAATAACTACCAAAAGTAAAGTAACTGCAGTTTGACTAAAAGTGGACAAAAAATGCAAAGACTTTTCGTCAACTACAACTATAAAAAACTGGATGACTCAAATGTGATTAAGACCAATAAACATTTTCATCTCAAGACTAAATAAAAAATGGCTGCCAAAATTACACTGGCCTACATACACGTGCGCGCTACAATGCTGTTGCGTATGTATTAAATGAATTAAATAAAACATTTTACTTAAATTATCAGTCAAGTAGCCTCCTTGTACATAATTATTTTCTAGGGTTTAAAATGTATACAGATTTGACATTTTCCCCTCATACTTCTGTCGGAATGGGTACGAAGTTGGCATTGAATTTCATTTGAAATGGTATTAAAAAGGTCTTAAAAAGCCTTGAATTTAAGTTGGAGGATCCTGGGGGTACCCTGGGTTGTGGTTTGCTATTGGTGGATCTCATGTGAGTGACAGGTTGTCCCATCCTCGTCTTTAGAAAAGAGAAGAGATGTCACTGAATGAGGGAGATGAAGTTATTTTGATTAAAGGTGCAATCGGTCATCTGGGAAATGCTAACTTAATAAAAAAAAATGATGTGCATGGATAAATCATTTATAATAATTACTTGCAATATTCCATAAAAAAAAAAATTATCAATTTTGATTTCATGATGACTGTAACCCTCAAAACCAGGGGCCGGATTCACAAAAAAACTTCTTTAGAAAGAAGTTAGGAAAGTTCTTAAGATATAATGCTAAGAAATTTGTAAGAATGTTTCTAAGTGCAATTCTTGAAAAATTAAGTTCTCAAATATTTTCTTAAGAACATCATCTTTGGTGTTATTTGATTGAAAGGCTGGTATTGCTGAATGAAAAACACCTCAAAGCCCATCTTTTTGCCTTTCATAGATTACTGTAGTAGATGACATGAGCACTTTTTTTTTTTTCCAGCTTGACAGGAGTTAATCACTCGGCGCAGATTTTTAATGTTCTGTGTCAAGTTAAAAATAGTTGTTTTTAAAGAGCCTGTCCCAAGAATTTGTGGTCTTTTCCATTCATTTGCGCTCTGTCTTTCCTGCACTCTCTCTAGAGTGAATGCATCCCATATCTGTGTGCTGCGCGCTAGTTCTAGCTAAAGTGAGCGCATCATATATATATATACATATACGCTCAAATGATTGATCGGTATCGCTTCAGAGTATTTGTCCACATTCCTGGTACTAGTAATATATGTATTATATTTTACTTGTGTTATGTTGAAAGGAATCTTTAGAACAACCCAATAAATTCATTAATCATCACCTTTGGGGATTTAAGACAGGTGGGGGTTTATCCTAACTTTAAGAAATTATTTACAATTATTTTTAAGAATATGAATACTTCTTAAATGTTGTCTCGAGAACATTCTTAAGAAAATGTTGGGAATACAAAATAATCTTATCTTTTATCTTATCTTTAATAAAAGAGAAGAATTTTATTCTGGGGCTTAACACAGACTCTTAGTCCAACTCCATGCTTAAAGTAGGGCCCTATGTAATACATTTTTTTGTAAGCTATCAAGCTTTCAATCACTCAGCTAGAGAATACCCATAATGCACTGTCAGAGTCGTGCGCCGAATGAATTCCCGCGTCTGACCAGAAGATGTCGCCCGCAGCTGAATCATCCATCAATCCATTTTCCAAACCCCTGGTCCAATGTGGGTACAGTGTAATATCATACAGGCATAAATTCCTTTTTAATTGATTATTAAATTTTTTAAATAAGGTGTATAGTTTCCATGAGAGAGTTCAAGATAAATATTTTCATTACTATTGGAGCTGCCAGTTTGCTAAGTTTCAGTTATTAAACGGCAAGCACAAACTATGCAAAAGCGTCAACCCTTCTGATGTACCCAGTGTCCGAATTCACTCACTCGTTTTCATTCACTCCCTCAAGTAAACTATATTAGTGGAGTAATGTAGGGAATAGTGAAGGGTATAGTGAGCAGTTTCCGACACAGCCCCAGGCTAGGTGAGCTAAAGCAGGTTTGAAATAAACTTTGCTGGACAGTGGGTTCCCAGGAGCAAGGTTGAAGACATGGGGTTTAATTAAATAAAATGAATCGAATTCGTAAAACTTTTAACAATTTAATAATAATTTATCAAAACAGTTGTAGTTCAACTGTTTTGACAGTTGTAATCAAATAAAGGCATAAAACATGAACAATTTAATTAATCTTTTAAAATGTATTCAAATGACAATTTAACAATTCCTTTTATTTTTAAGTGCTGCATTAAAGACAGTGAATATGCCTTTTAACCTACATAAAAACTTACATACTGACAACAGTGTTTTTTATTATTATTTTAAAGTTAAAAATGTCTCCAAATATACAATGCAAAGCTCTTATGAATAATGTATGTGTCACTTATCAGCCAACTTTTCCCTAATCCCATAATCCCTTTTCATTTTAGACCTCCGGGCTCCTCCTACATCCACTATGCCGAGTCTTCCATGAAAAACGGCTTTGGTCTCAAATACCTCCATCGCTTCTTCAACATCCCATTCCTGCAGCTGCAGGTCAGAGGAAACTTTCAAAGTCATGTTTGCTCTCAGGTCATTTCAAGTGGAATCCTCACATATCTTACATGGGGATTTGAGTTCATATGTTTTAAGAGATATAAGAGTTTGTGGATTATGGCAAGGGCTCTTGATGCTGATCCTGGAGATCTGCCTTCCTGCTCTAACAGATCCTCTGTAGTTTTCAGGGCTGCGTTTTAATTTGCATCTATCCTAAAAAGTATGCAATCAATGCAATTATAATAAATTATAATATGATTCACAGGAAACCTGGGAAAATCAGGTGATTCTATAGTGGAATTTTCCATTTTAAATATTTTAGATATGGGTATTTCAGTAGCTAGAAATTAGTCAAATGTTTTTTTTTTAAATGATTTAATCAATTCAAGGGATTTTAATGACTGTCGTTTTATTAATATAATATTTTACATTTATATTTTCATTTTATTATAAGTTTTAGTTATCTTATGACATTTTTGTTAGTTTTAGTTTTTTTTATATTTCTATTTTCCTTTTGGTTTTATGTTAGTTTTAGTACTTCAATACTTTAATTTTAGTACTTCAACTGAAACTTATTTTATTTCAGTTAGTTTGCAAAATTTTCAACTTTCTTTAGTGTGTAATGTTGCTGTTTGAGTGTGAAAAGGTCTGCAAATTTACAAAGCAGCGGGACTTATTCTCTATAATATTAGTGCGCACTATTTCTGAACTCCCTGAAACGCCTCCATTGTAGTCTTGAGTTTTCTTCTGGGAATGAACACATCACAATATTCCTCATATAAATAATTCCCGCCCAAAGCATACGCAAAATAAAGGGGCGGGGCCTGGTTGAGTTAGTTAGTAGTGTTGAAACTGGCGGTTATGGTGAGAGGCGTTACATTTCTCAAACACGCTCTGAGCAGTTGGCCAATCACAACATACTGGTCCACGCTGACCAATCAGAGCACATTGGGCTTTTCAGAAGGAGGGGCTTCATAGAGACAGGAACTAAACCGTGTTACTGACAGACTGGGAAGAGAGGAGCTGCAACAGTTGAGAATATGGGGAAAATAATGTGTTTTTTGATCATTAACCCTCTGGGCTTCTTCGGTCAAAAATGACCGAAACAGTATACGTTTTGAAATGTTTAATTTTTTTGCTTCATCGGAGGGAGATGAAACTTGGTGACTTTTGTTGTATTACCTATGTGAACACACAAAAAAATCAAGGAGATGATTCGGATATGTTAAAGGGTCGTAAAAAAAATAGTCACACTTAGCTTCCTTTCGGTCAAAAATGACCGACATAGGAAATGAATGGGAAATACGAAAAAATAGGAAAACTCAGAGAAACTTGTGGTGGTACAAACTACAGATCAGCCACTGTGCAGAAAAAAAGTGTACAGCAATGAAGGGGTGACACTCTAAAACATCAAGAGTGCAAATAAGACACCTCCCCCCCCCACACACACACACACACACACACAGAGAAATGAATAGGAAAGACTGTAACAGCAAATGTTGAGAAAATGCTAAATAAAATCAAAAATTAAAATAAAGTACAAAAGATAGGCTACTCTTTCTCGCTCAAATGCACACACACACACCTCATCATGTCTAAAACAACAATATGAATCAAAAAGCCTTTCTATGTATTTATATAGGAAGCCTACAGGCGGTTACGGACATTACACACATTTATACATTTTTACTTATCTAAAAAAAAATAAAAAAATAAAAAAAAGTAGTCTTTTAGCATATCTAAATATATATCTAAATAAAAAAAACGAATAAGAGAGAGAAATCATGTCTAAAACAGCAATAGGAATCAAAAAGCATTTCTATGTATTTACATAGGAAGCTATGGGCAGCCTACAGGCGGTTACGGACATTACACACTTTAAAACATTTTTAAAGCCACTGGATGGCGGTATTCTCACTTGAAATTTTTGTTGCCTGCTGCCAGCATTATATTTTAATGTGCCACGTTGAGTTTTTTGAAAAATGTTTTTTTTTTATAATAAAAAAAAAAAAAAAAAACTTTCTAATGGAAAAAATAGCTCGTAAAAATTATATAAATAATGCAAAGTATCATAAAAATCTTTAAAAATTCTAAATAATAATAAGAAAATATTATTGAACAAAAATATATTTGAATGGTTTTCCTGGGGGGAAAAAAAGTTACATTTTAAGGCTTCGGTCTTTTTTGACCGAAAGGAAGCCAAGTGTAACCCCTAAACAAAGAAGCCCAGAGGGTTAAAGCGTGGACCCCAAAAACTAAATAAAGACTTTGTAAAAAGGCATTATAGATCCCCTTTAAAGTTGTTCCTTTGTATGCATCCTCGTGATATGTCTCTTGAGACTGGCTGAATGGCATTAATAAATTAGGAATGTTGAAATTAGCCTGGGGATCAATGGCGACCGCTGTGTCTTATGTGTCGGCCTCTCTTCCTAAGGTTACTCCACAGTAAGTAGGTTGGCGGACTGGTTTCAGTTAAATGTATTTTATTGATCTTGTTAGAGAAATTAACTTCTGTTCAATTAGCTAGCTCAGCATAGATTGATAATAAAACTCAAGAGATACGCAACATCATATTACAGATGCAACCACAATAATTCATAAACGTTGTATCAGATTGGTTTCATGGAGTTCTGGTTACTTAAGTCTGTTTGTAATTCTTTTGTCTGTTATACACAAGTATTTATTATCTGCAAATATTGCTGACAGTTGAACAACTGGTTGCTGTGAAGGTGATGCAAATCCCGCTGCTCAGAATTAGTCCGTCAAGCACAGCGTGTCAAACTCATTAAACTTTCAGTCCTGTGCCTAGATCTGTTTTCCTCTCCTTGCTATCTTTTTCAGTGTTAGTTTAAAGGCCACTTCTAACTTCCGTGACTTTGAACAAACTTCTAACCCCAAGTATCAGTTCGGTCAGAAACCGGTTATTGGTTAGTGCATGTTTTTCAGTTGAGCTGTGGTGCTCATGAAAGAGGTTTGTGCTTCTCCAGTCCTCCTCCTAATTTGGAAATAATAAAGCAGGACAGTCAAAATGAGGTCACTGTTGATGTCCTGAGAGATTACAGTATGTTGGATGTGGTGTTTTTGTGTTTGCAGAGGGAGACTCTGTTACGACAACTGGAGACAAATCAGCTTGACATCGATGCCACACTAGAAGAACTCAGTGTTCAGCAGGAGACGGAGGACCAGAACTATGACATGTGAGTGTGAACCTCAGGCACACACAGACATTATGCATATATATACAGTAGTCAACATTTGAAGTGGATCAAAAAAGTCCGTCCTAAGACAAGAACGGGTATTGTTCAAAATTCATGTATAACTTTGATGAAAGGTTTTGATCCACTTCAAATGGCGACTACTGTAGTTCACGTTCATTTGGTTAACGCACCGTGTGCTAGGTTAACTTTACACGTTAGCATAATTTTAAACATAATTTAGTGAACAGATATGCACGGAGCTATGTATCTAAGTGGACATGGTAGGGGGGAAATATATGAGATGGGAGGGAAAATATTAAGTCAATGTTTTTGTGTTCTCTCGCATAGTTTTGCGTTCCCCTGGGAAATTTTGCGTTTACACGCAAAACGTTTGTTTTCCTTGCGAGCGAATGTAAAGTTTCTCAGGTGAATGCAAAACATTGGTGAGAGAATGCAATCCTCCCATCTCATTTATTTTTTTTCTACACCATTTCCCAAATTTCAAAGAAATGTACAGTATTTCACCAGTATTCCTCCAAAATAAATGTTTTGTCATGTTAAAATTTGGAGGGATTGAACGTTTGAAAATAAATAACTTAAGACTTATAAGGATTGTTACATGTATTAAATAAAATTATCATAATTATCATATTTATCAAATAATACACTACAATTGTAATTTACAACAGTAATATATTTCAGATTTAAAATAATAAGATAATAGAATTAATAATAATGGTAATAATTATTAGTATTATTATTAATTATATTAAAACATGATGATAAATAATATTATTGATCACAGTGACACAAAAATAATACCAATAACAATGTATATTATTATTGTTGTTGTGTTATCAATATTATATTATATATAGTTATAATAGCAATTATTATTACTGTGTTGATAAATTATTGAAATATTAACTTGCATTATATTACATTTTTTTAAATGTAAGTGGTTCAGCTGATTAAAAGTTTGGAAACGACTGCTGTAGAGCATCATGAGATCAGAGTTTAGCAAAGCAAAAGTCCCACTATGGCCAAGAGCCAACCACTAAGACAAGAATGCCACCTGACCAACATTTTTACAAATTTCACTGCTGTTTTTGCAGATTTCTTGAGATGATGGAGTCACGCAAAGCTTATGGATCTCCAGCGCCCTCTAATGGCCAGAGCCCGTCCTCAGGGTCCCAGTCCCCTGTGGTGCTGCCCGGTGCCGCCTCTCCCAGTAACTCCAGCCCCAGTACACCACAGGCTCCTGTCCCTATCCAGACCCAATCCGCCCCGCCACCACCTCCATCTATACCACACCCTCCTGTCCAGCTCACAGCCGCCCATGCACCCCAAACACCATCTCAAAGCCTGGAGCCTTCGCCCGCAGCAACGGTACCCGCATCTACCCAACCCGCACCTCCTCATGCCCAGAAACGAGGCTTCATGTCACGCCTGTTCGGTTCGTCTGCTGCAGAGACTTCACCAGACAGACCAGGTCAGTACAAAACATCAGAGGAGTCTGTTTTTAGTAGCCTGTTGCCAGTTATGTCTCGGCTCCGAAAGATCTCAAGATCTCACTTTTAAGAATGAGGCTTTTCTGCAGTACAGATAAGCTCTGTTCAATAAGCCGTCTTGTCGCCTACTTCCTACATACACACACACAAATGAATCATGGCATATGATTATTTGAAAAAAAGAAGCAAATAATAAACTATTTTCAAAATGTATTTATTAAAATTGCTTCGCATCAGAATAAGTCTGTAAAAAATCAGTTTAAAAGTCACTGAATTTAACTATGGCTAGTTCAAGCAAGATCCAATTATTAGTTTGTTAAACTAATGTGTGTTTTATATGCCCAAATCAATGAAAATTGTATGTAAATTACGTAAATCTTAAATGTAGGCCTATATATTTTTGTTGAGTGTAGGCAACATCCAAACTGAAAAAGAGACTTGTTTGTGTCTGATTTGAAACGCTCTACATGGACAACTAATAAAAACACTTGATATGATATACTCCAATATTGGGTACACTAGCTTTGTTTTTACAGTAATGAATAAAATGCAAGTATATTAATCATCAGCATTTTTCTTTACTAAATAAAATGTTGAATACCGTTGCGACATCCTACCATTTGGAACATCCTTCACATCAGCAGTGTGTCTATAATGCCTCAAATGCTGTCTTTTAAAAAAAAAAAATTTAATCGATCTTTAGTTTACAGTTAGAATATTTACTCTCACACACTTATAAAATTTAATGCAAGTTGCAACTATTCAAAATGACCAAAATGCACACCCCCCAGTAAGTCGCTTTGTATAAAAGGGTCTGTTTGCATTCAATATGTTCTTCAAAGGCCTTCACAGCATTTAACTTACACGGTTTCCCTAGTGTGTTTTCAGATCTGAGAGCGTGTGTGTGTGTGTGTGTGTAGGTTTGCTAATGTTAATGTATGATCTGTACTAAAGAGGGGCAGTCGTTCAGGGACTACATTCATTGCCTTATATACTGAATACCAATGAGACATTATCAGGCAACACTGGACCCGCCGCTGCACAGTCATTACAGAGAGCGGTGGACTGACAAACACACGCGCAGCTCTGCACCAGTGCATCGGCTGCTGCATTGCAGATCCTGGGGGATGGGGCCCATACACAAAGACACACACAAACTGTGTCAAATGGCTCCATATAAATATCATTTTGCAAGTATTTTGCTCTCTTAAGTTTGTGTTTTTGTTCATTTTCACAAAAGTGCCCTTGTTCTGTGGAATGCTTGATCCAATTTGACAAATGTCTAAACTGGTATGAAAGGTCCAAGATACCATAAATGATAATTTATCATTAGTTCAGCATTCAAAATGGTCCAGAATTCAGGTTTGATCCGTTTTTAGTCATTTCTTCTGGACATTTTCCTTTTTAGGACCTTTAAAAGCTCCTTTATTCAACAACATACTTACAGAGACTTTCTAATCACAGGATTGTGCTGAGTATTGTTATAAAGCACAGTTCCTTCATCTGTGACAGTACAAATACTTGTTATGTCTTCATTGCTGCCATCATCTGTCCTTCAAATATGTCTGAAAGTGTGCTGAATGCCCATGAAATCTATCTAGATACGTTCATATATTAATTTCCTTTATATGTTTCATGCGTTTCAGTGAATCTCAAGCCTTTTTTATTTATTTATTTATCCCCCCCCCCCCCCCCCCCAAGAAATCTCATTAAGTTTATATTTAAAAATGTTGTTGTACTGATATTGTATTGCTGATTTAAATTAAATCATTGTGTCTGTATTTTCATTACTGTAATAAACTAATGGAAATTAGATTTTTAATGAGAATTTTCAGGGGAAATGTATGGAAAAAATATACAAAAAATATTTTAATGCATTGCATTTTTATGGGCTGAATTTCAACATCAAATTCAACATTTGACATCCGGAACGGTAGACTGCCGATTGATAATCTCCGTAGCTGTTAGTGGACCTCACCAGCAGGGGGTGCAAGCGGCTGTTGACAAAGAAAACTATAGAGCAACGGGTGAGAGACTCGTGAAAAATACAATGCATTAAAATGCAAGCAGGGTTAATGCAATGCATATTTATAAGTAGTGCAATTCAACAAGCTTTTTTGTTTCAAAAACATTTGTCATTATTTTACTTCCATAGAAATGTGAAGTAAATGGTGGATGCAAAATAAGTTAATGGTTTTTAAAAATATCCTTTATTTTATGCATTTTTTTTCATATGTAATGACAGATTTACCTAATTTAATTTGTTCAGAATAATTATAATATAATAAATAATAATACAAGTTTAATAGAATTTCATAAGAAAATTCTATAAAAGTCAAATATGTTTCTGGTAATTCATGTAAATGCATTCTTGCATGTTATTAATGAGAATGAGATAAAAAAAAAAAAATAAAAAAAAAAAATTATGAGAATTTAGGGGGAAGGCGTCTGATTATCATCAATGCAAAATATCTTAATCCCTAAAAAAGGTCGTCACATTTATGTAGTGCTTTACACAATACTTTTTTTTTCCAAAGCAGCTTAATATTAATAAACAAGAAAATAGAATCAAACCAAAATTCTAAAATGGTCAAATATGTTTCAGGTATAAATATCTGATCCACACTCTGACTTGTGATGCCGCCTGGAATCATAAACGCACTATGTTGGTTTGTTTGGCCAGAGGAGAACCGTCCCCTCGACTGACAACTGCATTGAACTGTCCTCAGCTAAACAATGCTGCTTTATTCTATAATTGAATTATTTTTGCATCATTGAATCATTATTTTCATATTATAACTGTAAAGCTGCTTTGAAACTATCTGAATTGTATAAAGGCTATAGAAATAAAGCTGACTTGCCTTGACTCTTTGCAACTGTGCAACATAATTCGTGCACATTACCATTCTAAATGTTGAAATTATGGCATACATTCATTTTAACCCAATATGGTGTTTTATTGTCATCAGAAACTACAGGTTCTGAAGGCCCGAAGCCCTCTGGAAAGGTGCAGAGCGTGGATGAATTTGTACCGGAGGTTGGATTGGACCGGACCTTTCTGGAAGACGGTGGAACAGCAGTTAAATCAAAGAAAAAACCTCCAACATCAGCTCCCATTCTGGACAGTGATAGGTGAGCTGTCATAACACGTCCTTTATTGTTTATTAGATTTTCCATATTACTGTTGTAATTTCAGCAGCTCATAAACATACTGGACAGGATTTCATTTTCTCAGATCAACATGATTGTTCCATCTCAAAATAATTTGGTTGTGGTAATGCTGGCAAAAAAACAAGTGATGTTTCAGAAATGAAGAAAGTTTTTGATTTTTGAGAAACAATGAAAATTCAGCATTGAAAATATGTATGGAAAGAGACATTGGTAAAACTTTACAATACATTAGTCAATGTATTAACTAACATGAACAGTGAGCAATATATTTTATTTACAACATTTATTAATCTTTGTTAATGTTAGTTAATAAAAATATAATGTTGTTAGTTCACAATGCATTAACTAAGTAAATTAACAACGATTAATAAATGCTGTAGAAGTGTTCATTCTTTGTTCATGTTGACTAATTTATTTAATGTTGGGAAAGGAAATATTATTGTAAAGTTACACAACTATATGTATTTTAAATAAGGACTGAGGCATTGATCGCAATAAGAGCAGAGGCATTTGGGTTCAATTTTAGTCGCGTGTTAAACTCATGATGAGTTTTCCTGTCTTTTCCTCAGTGATGGAGAGGGCCGGGGAAATCCTCTGGTCTCCGGCTTCCAGGATGATTTAGATCCGGATGACCGAGCGCTGAGCCGGCCTGCCCTTAAAGCGGTGGTCCCAAGCGTGGGCGTCACACTCACGAGTGACGAAGAGGAGGAAGATTCATCTCTACCCTCTGTTGCCCTGCACAAAGGCATCAGCTCAGGAACAAACTCAAAGGGGTAAAAAACCACATGCAGAAATGCATCTTACTTTTAATAGAAAGACATCGGTGGGATACAGACATGTTGAGACCTGACCAGAATTTCCAGAAGATTTGTTGTACCGTTTAAATTAATTTCCCTCACTGTTGATGAGCTTCCAAAATAGAAATTATTCCATTAGCAGAGAGACTTCTCTAATTTACTTTCATTAAAACACTCGTAATGAAAGCAAAACCAATTTTCCTTTCTTGATAATATTATTTTTCAATTAATTTTACCTTGGCAGTGATTTCTATAGATAGATCGGTAGACTGACAGATAAACATGGATGGATGGATGAAAAAGATAGATGGATGGAGGGATGAAAAAGATTGATGGATGGATGGATGAAAAAGATGGATGGATGAATGAAAAAGATGGATGGAGGGATGAAAAGGATGGAGGGATGAAAAAGATAGATGGATGGATGGATGGATGGATGTACGGACGAAAAAGATAGATGTACGGATGAAAAATATGGATGGATGGACAAAAAATATGGATGGATGAATGGATAAAATGCATGGATTGATTAAATGCATGGACGGATTAAATATATGGATGTATGGATGGATGAAATGCATAGATGGATGAAATGCATAGATGGATGAAATGCATGGATGGATGAAATGCATGGATGGATGGATGGATGGATGAAATACATGGATGGATGAAATGCATGGATGGATGAAATGCATGGATGGATGGATGAAATACATGGATGGATGGATGGATGAAATGCATGGATGGATGGATGAAATGCATGGATGGATGGATGGATGGATGTATGGATGTATGAAAAATACATGGATGTATGGATGTATGAAATACATGGATGGATGAAATACATGGATGGATGAATGGATGGATGAAATACATGGATGGATGAAAAATACATGGATGGATGGATGGATGGATGGATGAAATACATGGATGGATGAAATACATGCATGGATGGATGAAATAAATGGATGGATGAAAAATACATGGATGTATGGATGGATGGATGAATGAAATACATGCATGGATGGATGAAAAATACATGGATGTATGGATGGGTGGATGAATGAAATGCATGGATGGATGGATGAAATACATGGATGGATGGATGGATGAATGAAATGCATGGATGGATGAAATGGATGGATGAAATACATGGATGAAATGCATGGATGAAATGCATGGATGGATGGATGGATGGATGAAATGCATGGATGGATGGATGAAATACATGGATGGATGAAATACATGGATGGATTGGACGGACGGACTGATATTTCATGTAGAAACTGACATTTATTTTCTCAGATCTTCAGTGAACTCCATCAAACATCTGCACACCATGTCCAAACCAGCCGAGAGACCCCAAAGCCTGAAAACAACAGCAGGACCTGCAGGTCTGAAGACAGGGGGCGCTGTTGAGGTGCACTCAGATTCAGACGCTCAGCAAATGCTTTCATTTGCCATGGATGACCCTGATTTCGAGAGTGAAGAACTTGGCGTACACAAGATCAAAGCGGTAGAGAACCATTTCTAAGTTCTTGATTATTAATGAAATTTCAACCCATGGCCTGTTATTCCACACTGAAATCAGTGTTATTTGAATGTAATCGATATCCTATTAGTTTTAATTTTATATATTTTTATATTTTCTGTTTTCATTTAAAATTTGGTTTTAGTAATTTTGTTGTGTGTTGTTGTCATTTTTATTATTTTGTTGTAAATACAGTATGTCTATTTTTTTTTTATTACGTTTAATTGATTTAGTTTTAGTTATTTTAGTATTTCAATTTAAACAAAAAAAAAAGAGAAATATCGTCTTGGCAGCTAGCTGAATTGATTTATTTTTTTAATTAAATTATATTTTTAAATTAAAACTATTTTAGCTTTAGTTTTAACTATAATAACCCTGACTGAAATCCATCACAAATGTTGTTCTCTAAGAAATGTAAATCATCTAAAGTCTAATAAATATAATTTATCTTTTTTGCCACCACATAATTCCCACTTAGCCACTCATATTTTATGCTTTGTCTGTTTTTCTCAGGGGGCCCTTTCTGCACTAGATGACTTCTCTGACCGGTCGGATGATGGTTTCGTGTTAGCTGGACTCCAGGAGCCCCCCAAACCTGTTGCCCCCTCATTCAAGACCCTCAATAGCGACATTGACCTCTTCGGCCTGGGCTTTGAAGACACGACACCTAAGAGTAAAGACAGCAGTGAAGATCAGGAAGGTAAATGACTGATCACAAATAAAGGGAATTCACAATCACATCCTCACCATGCTCATTATTTTCAGCCAAAGTGGGCTTCATATGTATACAAGATAAGTAAGGATTAACATTATTTACTCAAACATTGATCTCTGTCCTACTTTTTTAATTCTAAAGTGCTCCATTATGCTATTTTAAAGTCTCCTACAATAATTTTACATTCATCCAAGGTCAAAAAACACTTTAATTTTCTCATCATATACATTGCAGCACCAGCTCTTTTCTCACAGTGTCAGAAACGGTTCAGTAAAGGATTCAGTCTCTCTAAAGCCCTCCGTATTAATTTGAGCCTGAGTCCTCATGGAAGCACATGCAAAGTGGATTTGCTTTCACAGCACAGAAAAAAGTGTCTTCTCAACCAATCTCTCTAGAGTGTTTGAGGGCAGGTCAAAGTAGATACAAGACCATAGGCTGGCATTATGCAAACTTGTTACAAAGCTTCGAGCAGGAAGTTGCTGACGACTCGTTTTAGGCAGTTGAGAATCGGTTCTTGCTTTTAGGAGATAATAACTTTATTTGTCATGCACTTTGGTCTTTAAAACTTTGCAGACCTTTTACATTCACAGCTATATTACACACTACATGAACGATAATATCCAAAAAATCATAATGGGGCACTTTAATCTAAGTGACGATTTAATTGACACGTTATATAAAAACAGATTGCACGTTGTGGATCTTTAAAAACATTGATGCCCTTTCCAAGTTACCGTATATTAATGCAGGGAGTTTATACTGTCAAAGAATGCTGCAAATCCATTGATTTCGAAGGGGACGGGCAATCAGGCAAATATTTGTGTCTGTATTCTTGCTTTTCAAACTACCGGTAACCCATATAATCCCACACCCTTAAAAAGGATCTTGCATCCCTCAAATGCTCCGTAAGGGCTTTTTTAAAATTATTTTTTATATATATAAATGTCTGCAGTCTTAAACAACTGGGTTAAAGGATGACTTTGTGCACATTTCCAAGTCTGTTTTATCTTGCAGATAATGAAAGCAGACACTCCATAAAGGACAAGAAAAAGAAGAAAAAGAAAAGCAAAGAGGTAAGATATGAAAAACGTGACTATATTAGCGATATACAAATATCAATCAGGGCAATTAAAATGACAATATTTTGCTATTTTGAGGTTGTGCATCACTTCCAAAATCTACCAACAGCTTGACAATGGATAATTTACCTGTTTTTTTTTTTTTTACATAGATTTTTGAGTAAATATTGTGTAAAGTGAAGTCGCATGTATTTATATAGTGCTTTATACAATACAGATTGTTTCAAAGCAGCTTTAACAGTAATACCCAGGCTAAAAACTGCATCAGTGTTGCAATATTTAGCAGTTAGGAAACATTTAATGTGACTATACAGACAATTCATTTGTTCTGTGTTCTCATTCTGTAAATACTGCTAAATCCAGTTAAATTGTGCTTGATGTAAATATTAATTTAATATTTATAATTGAACAACATTATATTGGACATAAGTCGGTATCAGCAATCAAAAAGCCTCCACTGGTCGATAACTCGCTCTTATTAAAACTTTCTCATGTGTTTCAGATTTTGTTGCTTGTGCATAAACTGCCTTTATTAGTGAAATTGAAGAAAAAAATCTTGTTGTTGTTCTAGGAGGATGAGAAAAGCAGCAAAAAACGACACAAACACAAGAAAAAGGAAAAAGATGAAGCAGGAATAGGAACAGGAACAGTAGACGAGAAAGAAAAGAAGAAGAAGAAATCATCAAGGCCCAAGAAAGCAGGAACTGTGGACGATCTTGAGGCCTTCCTGGCCAGTGAGGGTGGAGATTATGAAGAACTCTAGAGCTCCATCTAACCAATCAGGGTTTGACATCAACACCGTGTGACATCGCCAGGTCATTTTCCAATCCATTCCACCTGTTTTTCAGTGCCTAACCTTTTGAATTTTCACAGCGTTTTTTGTTCTTCCAGCAGTGCAGCTTTACGTTGTGCTTTCTCAAATTTGGTACATGGCACCGTCGTTCGCCTCATGCCGTTTTCCAAAGTGTATCAGTATTTTCAGACCTATAACTTTAGATGCATTTTTCGGGAAGGACAGAGGCAGATTTCACCTGCTTCTTCAATCGATCCAGAGTTTATTCCGTTATTAACTGATTCCAGCAAAATGATGACGGTCTACAAAAACATGGTCACTTTTAGCTGTATTGGTTTTGTTTTGTGTGTGTCTGTCAATGTGTGTGTGTTTATATATATGTCCCTGAACACTTGGCAACTGCGTGTGCTTGCATTTTAATTTAGCAAACTTATAGAGGGATTAATCAGACTTTCCGTTCAAATCTGCACAGCAGTAGAAGGCCACATATTTGAGCAACACTCATTTCTGTGTAAATCATTCGAAAAATGATTATTTTCTCAGTCTCGAGTTGCATTTAATTAAATTGTTTTGGTCGTGTTTCAAAGATGTTGCAGAAATGGTCAATTCCATCCAACAATTAATGTAAGAATAGTTTTCACAAAGAATGTGCACAGAAGTTCATGCATCATGAGACCTGATATCTTGTGGCGTTCATTGTCTTCCAGACGATACATCAAATATCAGATCCTCAAAGAATCAGCTGCTGGTGTCTATTAATTAATAACAAAAGCTGCTTTTGCCATCAGTTTCTTTCATTACTGCCTTAAATCGTTTTACACTTAATATAATGAAAGCCTTTATAGAGCAATCCTATACAGTTAATTAATGTCTGAGGCTCCGACACACTGCTAACATAGACAGAATTACTGCCAGCTGGAGAGACGCACTCTTTCCACAATCAAAATCATGTTTGCATTTAGATATATGATACAGTCGCATCAAGTCGGTTGATTTGTCTTTATATTTATGCATTTACTAAACCAGTATTACTATTCTAATAATGTGTTTTAAGCTTCATAATCATAGTTTCTGGTTCTGGTCAAAACTCTCCCTCCTCCTCCTCTCCTGTCCTGTCTGGTAAATGTATCCATTTCCTTTGCTGAATATCTTTATTTTTGTTATGGCTTGTGTACTTGTTAGAAGTTGTGTGTAGACCTAGTGTTTGGCCGCCCGTGTACAGAAATCTGTACATTTTAGCACCGGCCCTGTTTAAATGATTCGAATGCAACAAAACAGAACTGATCTAAAAAAAAAAAAATCAAAATATTTTTCCCTCATATTTTTGCATGATTAGGTGACCAAAAGCAGAGAAAATTACGTTTAAGTAAAAGATCTAGAAAAACGGGCTGTAAATTTGTAAACTACTTGAGCGTATAATAGTGAAAGTAAAATCATATTTTGAATGCACACTGTAATATCACCTAAAATATTTTGGCTTCAAATTATCCAATAATGCTATGATGAGTGAGAGTTGAATTGACAAACAATTGTTTACTCATAATGGGCATCATTCATGAAGCCAGATTAGAATTGTTCTTCTTACTTCAGTTGTTGCATCAGATTAGTTTAGTTTAGAATAGTTTTATCAGCGATTCATTCTGCTCGTGTTTCATGAATAGTGTTTCCTAGTGTTTACTTGCAATGCCCCCCTTTTATTTTCATCATGTGTTGATAAATGATAACCAAATAATTTCAGCAGTTCTTACTTCAATTTTTGCATGGTATTGAATGTAAAATGACCATTTATGTAAGAATGGTTTTACCAACGATTGATTCTGCTCGTGATTCATGAATGAAGCCCAATGTTTCCTTGCAATGCCCTCTTTTTGCTTTTGTTTTCATCATGTATTGATAAATGATAACCTAATAATTTCAGGCGTGAATTTTATTCTAATGAACTAGACTGTTGTGGAATCTAATTGGCTCCAGCTTAAGTGGCAGAATGACATCATCCCTTCTAGTGCGCCTCATCATTTCAAACGGTTTCAATGGATTTTCTATTTTTCAAATATTCTTATTATTGGGACAAAATAACAACGTACTTTCCGCCTTCCAAAGAAAATGACTTTTTTTTCCGGCTTGACGGTACTACGAACGTTCACCTTGGCATCAACCTTTGAACCTGGTTGTTTCGGCCCAAGATATTGTGTTCTACACACTGTCCCGCTTCGGCTTTCCCTCGGGCACAGCAGTGCCGACAACTGAATGTTGATTCCTGCTCGTAAAGATGTTTTTTCCAAAATCCCCAAAGGAATTCTCAAAGAGGAACGGAGATCATTGGGGCGACTAGCCATTAAATAACGGTACGTTTAAAGACCTGCAGATTCCCGTGTGTCTCTTGCAACCGTCGCCTGTGTCTCTTAGGTCGTTGCAAATCGAGCACGGCTGCCGGCTCCACATGCGCCACTGAGACCATGTGATGCATCACGCTGTCACCATGGAACTGCTCGCTTGGGAAAACTGTCTACACGCTCACTGTGATAAATAGTCACACACTCCTGGATATACGAGTACACTGTTAATACTCTCACCCCAAACCAGCGACTCGAACACATATCAACTTCCTCTTTACTCTGCCTCAAGTATGATTGACTCTGAAGGGCCCTTGATTGATTGATTTATCTCTCCGTTTGTTTGGCATGCATATTTTTCCCACTGTTAAGGAAAAAGGAGATGGGAAACGAATGCGTTGGTGCTGCACTAGCTCTGGACTGCATGCAGTTACCAACACACTACCTGCGTTTCACTACGACTGCTTTTATGGACTGGAAATGTTTGGGAACGCTAGTTTTAAACCGTAGGTTTTTTTTTTTTTCGTTTATTCATCCAGCATATATGCATTCCAAAACCTTTATTTGGGACCATAAATGGTTGTGATTGCCTATTTATTTTTTGTTACCCTGTTTCACTACCCACAGTGTTCATATTTTGATTTATGTGTTTCAATTGTGTAATAAATGCAAGCGAAATTTGAAAGCGAGTTTACAGTGATTTATTTGTATCGTAATGGTGTTGTGGTGTTAATCATACAGCTACGTTTAGTTTCAGGGCTTTCAATGCAGCATTCATGCAACTTTTGTTTTTTCTAGCCACTTTGAGTGAATCTCGTGAAGAAATACCCGGGTTGTTTTTCAACGTCCCTCAAACATTTTGCTTGTTTCTCCTTTTCTAGATAATTTTAGCGCACTATTCGTTTGTTGCCTTGCCCGAACTGTTGTTTTTGTTGGGGAAATGTGATTCTAGATTAGTTTACAGTCCAATCCACATCATGGACATTTTGGTTGTGACACTTTATCGCCACTGGAGGGAGCAGTTTTTGATCAATTTATACAGTTAGAAGGTTCAAGTCTCCATGCAAAGTTGAGTATGTGTGTTTGGAGCAGTTTGGATTGATTGACCGATTTATTTATTTTTATTGTGATTTCCAGTTAATTTGTTTTCTATTGTTAATTCAATCATTCATAGCATGGTGTTTCAGTATATACAGTGCTGACAAGTGCAGTCGTTGGTGCCAACTACAGTCATTGCCGTAAGTAGTAACTCTTATTTATACTACCTTCCTTGTCCTTCTCTTCCCCTTCTGTCTTACTGAACACATTACCTATGTGGCCCCAGTCCAGGAGAATGCAATATTCTAGGGTATTTTATCTTGATAATATCTACCACATCTGTGACACGCTGTCGATTACCATGGACTGTCGATTAGATATTTGGCAGATGCGTAACAATCAAATCCGAAGTGCTGACATTACATTCAACCTATGTATTTTTATCCGTACATGCATTCCCTGGGAATCGATCCCAAGACCTTGCTAGCATCAAGGTGAATGACAATGTGTTTACATTAATTCACATGTCCATCCAAGAAAAGTGGTCACACCTTGAAAGACTGAATCAATGTGTTCTATTTTAAGTGTTACTTTTAACAGCTTTCCTGTTCAATCTCATCAAATGTAAAATTTTATTGTAGTCAATATATTATCTGTGGTCATCAACCGCAGGCCAAAAACTTAAACTCTTCATATTCAATATTCACAGCCTTTTTTTTAATATATAAATATTTTTATTTGCAAAAATAAAAGTAATTATTTGTACAAAGAGGGTAGTTTCTACATTTTCAATCTCTCCCCAAACATATTCACAAACTTGCACTACTAAATGTCGCATGCAGAGACTAGAATATCACAGAGACTCTGACTTGGACCTGTATATGTTGCTGTGCTTTAAAGGGATAGTTAACTTTGAAATTAATTTTTGATGTTTTAGCTTACCTCAAGAGCATCCAAGATGTAGGTGTCTTTGTTTCCGCAGTAGTTTCAATTTTGATATTTTTAGGTCAAACCGTTGTTGTCTGTCAGTCATATAATGCAGGTCTATGGTCACCACCTCAAAGAGCATGCACAGAGAAGTCCAAATTAAACATGATTTAATGACTCGTAAATGTAAGTACACATTGATGGCCTACGACGCGAAACGAGCGGTTTGTGTGAGAAAACGAACAGTATTTATATCGTTTTTACCTCTTGTAACCACAGCCACGTCCGAGTGATCTGAGGGGGCGGGACCTGCATTATATGACTGACAGACAAGAACGGTTTGACCTAAAAATATCAAAATTGAAACTACTGCGGAAACAAAGACACCTACATCTTGGATGCCCTTGAGGTAAGCTAAAACATACCTAAAATTAATTTCAAAGTGAACTATCCCTTTAATTGCACACAGAAAATTTTGACTGACAGCAGAGACAGCCAATCACAGCTTACTGTATAACTGTCACTCGGGGATCGAGTTGGGGAAACCTTGTAAACACTGAAATGCTGCTCTCTGTTGAGATCAATAGAGACTTTAACATACAGCTATGGATTACATGTTTTCGTTATTAACTAGTATTCCTTTTGACCTGTAGCATAATGACGTCATGCTATTGTCTACCGAACCAGGGAAAGTTGCAGTATATCCGTCTTCATAATGTGCTACAATGGTTCACTGGCAGATTTTTAGGCCTTTACTTGCAGCAAAAAGCAACATTTTAAAGGGCTGTTTTAACATCTAGTATTATTTTGCAAGTCACATATAAAAAACAATTCCACTCGAGGAGAAATCAATCACCAATTTTATCCAGATAGCTAAAATATGCAATTTGGTACAGTAGCTGATATGGCCTATAAGAAATTCTGATGCTTGTAATGTAAATCAATG